ACGAAAATACGTTACATTTGAGATTTTAAATTATCATATTTTATATTAATTTACTAATATTACTCTGTAGATCAAAAAAAATATTTCTTTTAAAGTAATAACAAGTTAGCACTAAAGTTTACTTATATGCATGGCACAGTATAAATAATACAACACCAACTTAACAACCTTTTTGCATTGAATTTCAACAGGGATTGGTAACTTTGTATCTAAGCAATTCAGGGTTTATATTATTCAGATTTATTAGCTTAGGTCAGCTGAGTATGCATTGTTTACGCTTTAAGTTGCGTGTTCAAACAAGGTTGTAAGTATATTTAGGGTAAACTGTATTTTTAGTCACACATCTATTCTCACAATTCTATTTTAATCACTCAACTGTTTTTTTCCTTCAAATCATGTCTAATGTTATGATTTGGTTATGTTTTAATCATCTGTCGTTAAAAATTAACAATGATGTTGATGTGTCATTGTAAAGTAATATCATATCATCATTGAAGAAAGTAAAAGATTACCACATCAATAGATTTGTTTATTCTTTAATATTGGATGATCAAAACACATAACATTAAATATAATTTTGGAAAAAAAATTAAATAACCAAAATGAAACCGTGAGAATAAATGGATGATTAAATACATATTTTACCCATTTATTTATAATGAATGAAATTTAACACAATTAATAACTTTTTAAAAGTTTTTATGCTTTTTCTCTCTCTTCCTTTTATGTATCAAATTAATAACTTTGGTTTATCCCATTTGCCACTTATTTTTTAGATATGTTTACATCACGAAGCATATCCTTTTAGGTCTGAGTCCATGTGTTAATGATAATATGAAACTGATTTTTAATATTCGAAAATGTTTTTGAGATGTCAAAAACATTTATTGTCATTAAAAATAATGTTAGACATCATATGTTTTATTTTAAAATTATTATGAAAAAGTTATTATCAACACAAATTAAAAAAGTTGAATTTTAAAGTGTTATTATGTTAGGTTAGAAGTAAAATTCTATCTTTCAACTTCAATTTTTTTATTTTAATATATTGTTAAAGGATGATGCTGTCACGTTCGACGAGCACGTATGAGCAATGTTAATGATAAGCAACATTAAATTAATTTATAAAATTTTAAATTATAAAGTACTAAATGTATAATTATTAATTAGTTAAAAATATAAATGTAATTTAATTAAAAAAATAATATTTATAAAACATTAATTTTTAGGGTAAACTATATTATTGACCACCTAACTATGTACCCTTTTTACTTTAACCACCAATTTTTCAATTTTCTCAATTGTGTCACCTAACTATTTAAATCTTATCAATAAGCCACCTGCCGTTAAATATTAACGGATGAGATGATGTGACAGTTAATAAAATTTGTATAATTATACATTTAGTCTTCATTACTTACACATTCTATTAATTTGGTTTTAACTTTTATTTAATTCAATAAATTTAATCATCAATTGGAGTGTGCCACGTTTCACTGTGTGATTAGATGTTTTTAATATAATTTTATTTAATAAAAATTTCATCCAAAATCAAATGGTGCAACGTGTCACCAATTGTATGAATGAAAAATAAATTAAATTACTAATTGCTACTGGTGGGGTTTGAACCTGAGACACAAGCAGAAAAACTAAGTGTCTTAACCACTAAGCTAGACCACTAAATTTGTCTAGTATACAGAACATAATCTATATAAATTATAATATAGTTAATGGTAATAAATGACCTTATAAGGACTTAAACATGAAATAATTAAATAGTATGAAAATATAAAATATATATAAACAAATATTATAATTGATTAATAAATGAATATGTTTTATTTATATTTTAAATCATTGCAAAAATTAAAATAAAAGTGAATTTAATATGTTATCATCGAAATGTATCATTTTGTATATTTTAAATTAATAAATTGTTTTCATTATTCTGATTTTATTGAACTGAAATGTATCATATCTTATATTTTAAAATATTATAATATCGACCATATTCTAATCTTATTTAACAACTTTGTATTAAAATAGACTAATTCAATAAAATAAAATTTTCCCTAAAATTTTCTTCAAATATATAATGAATAAATAATAAAGTATAAAATTCTGAATAAATAATAAAGTATAAAATTCTTACTCTAATTGGGTTATAAACAAGTCAATTCATAAGTTAAAATGCTTACTATGATAAGCTCTCAACTATCATAAAAATTCCAAGTCAACGAAACTCTTCATTACATTTCAATTATAATATATTTAAATTATTTTTACTTTCATTTTTTAAATTAAAATGATTGAAAATATAAATAAAATACATTCACATATTAATCAATTATAATATTTATGTGTGTGTGTATGTATATATATATATATCATATTATCGTATTATTCAATTATTCCATGTTGGAGTTCTTATTAGGCCATTTTCCCTTTTTTTATTGCCATTAATTATATATATTATGTTGTGATATTTTTGTCATTTGAATAGTGCAGCCCAATGGATGTATTTTCTTCATCTCCTTACGTCTTGGGTTCAAGCCCCACTAACAACAGTTATTGATTCAATTTATTTTCTATTTATTCAATTGGTGACACGTGACTCCATTTGATTGGATGATAATTTTATTAAATTAAATAAAAATATTAAGATAAAACATCTAATCACATAGTGACATATGTCACCATCTGATTGAGGATTAAATTTATTGAATTAATTAAAAGTTAGGACTAAATTAATAAAATGTGTAAGTAATGAGGACTAAATGGGTAATTATATATTTTTTTAACTGCCACATTATCTCCTCTATTAATATTTAACGGTAGGTGGCTTGATTGACAAGATTTAAATAATTAGATGACCCGATTGATAAAATTAAAAAATCGGTGGTTAAAGTAAAGAGGATAAATAGTTAGGTGGTCAATCACATAGTTTACCCTCAAAGCTAATATTTTATAAATATTGTATTTTAATTAAATGTACTAGATTTTTAATTAATTTATAATTGTACATTTAGTACTTTATAATTTAACGTTTTATAAATTAATTTAATGGTGTTCATTCATCCTCGACTAATGTTGTAGAATTTTTTTGTTGTTAGTATATAGTTAAATATTGATTTGTTATGTTTAGTAATGATTTATTAGTTGTTAGAACTTAGACATAGAAGCTGGTTGTTACAGTTTATTACATTCAAAGGTTTATTTAAGTTTTTTCACTAAAAAATGGAACAATTTAGACCTTATATTATATTTAAAAATTTATTTTAGTCACTCTTTTATTAAAAAACCATTTTAATCCATGTACGTTCTGAAAGTAAATATTTTGATATAAAATTGTATATAATTTATAATATTTATTTATAATTTTAAAACTGTTAATGAAATTGTAAATATTTTTTGATTTTTATGTCATTTTTGTCAATTAAATCTTTACTCTCACTTTAAATATAAAAAAATTAAGAAAATTAAGCGTCTATTTTTTTCATTTAAATATTTATAATTTATTTATATCAGAGACATCATCATAAACAAAATTAAATTATATATATATAGACACACACACATCATGTATCGAGTATATATAACTGATAATCGTATATATACATTACATACCAAATATATAATGTATGTGAACATGCATACAACACAAAAGCATCGCATATATTTACTAACAATTAGACGTTAAAATCATTACATCATAGGGCATGTGAAAAAAGTAGCATAATACTTGTGTTTTCTAAAGCTCATATGTACGTATATAATGATTATAAATGTTGTTTAAAGCTCATACGCTTGTGTGCATATATACATCATCAATTGTTTATAGTGGAGATCTTGATTCTGATACGACACCAAAGTTTGCTAGCTGCCTTCATAATTGAGTCAATGATGCCATAAATATATGACATCTTTTTAATTTAAAATTTCATTTATGATAAAAATTAATGACATGATAATTGAAATTTTAAAAATTACTACTCCTAAATTAATAAATTTACGAAATATAACTAAACTTAAATATTTTAAATAACCAATATTATTTAAGCATCATTGACATCAGTTAATAATAAAATAATCTGCTTAAAATAAGGTTATCTTGACAAAGTAATGTATTAAAATCTTGTTAGATCTATCAAAAATAGATATATTAAAAAGAACTGAATAATAAGCAACTATTAATTGAGAAAGTGGCGATAAAAGAATCTTTGAAAAATGTAAAAAGAATTTACAAAATAAAAACTTTCCATAAGAAAAGTGTAAGACATTAAACAAAAATAAAATAAAATTTCATAGAGTTGTAAATAAATATGTAAAATAAAGATTGTTGGTATCTATTAACAGTGGTCGTATAGATATAGGATGTGAGTGAATGTGAATAAATAAAATGCAAAAAGAAAACGGTGAGATGAAAATGATTCTCAAACCACTGACCATAACAAGTGATTAGAACAATTGTTTAAAAGCTTTATAGGAAATAAAATAAAAATAGAAGATTAAATTAAGATATAATAAAAGTAAGAAACTCTTCTGATTTATATTACTTAGACCTGCTTAATTTGATAACTATTGCATAGCATATGGTAATGTTTAGATCTCAGCCTCCCGTAAAAGTACACCAAATTAACTCTATTGTATATATGTGTATTATTCAAAAGAAGATATATATCTTTTTTGTTATTTATTTATATTTAGAGCTTATAATTATTTTTAATAATATTATTCCTAAAATTTAAATTTATTTTTTACAATTAATATAACATTAAATACTTTATTAAAAATAATTTAAGTGATAGATAACTTGAACAACCTTCTGGAAAATATAAAACTCATTGACCAAACCCTCGGCATTAGGAATCCTCATGAATCACATTGTATTGCCAAATATCTTTTGGTATTACTTATATAATAACAAGGAGTTGATATGGAGCACCGAGTTAGTGTTGGGAAGCTTTGTCGTATATATTTGCAGCACCTGGATCCAGTTGAACCGAGTCTCGTTACTTCCAATGGCCATTTCTCTATCAGAAACCTTTCTTTCCATCAACCGCCACCTCCATGATCATCACGTTGCGTCGTTTCCACCCCAAAAATCTTACATTGGACATTCCAAAAGCATGGAGTTTGCGACTAGATCTCCTAGGATTCCCAGAGTTATGTCCAAAACGACCCAGTCCTTGTCCTCCGTAATCCATGAACTCCAACTGGAAAGAAGAGCAAAACTAGACATTGAAGCCGGTAAAAAACAACAAGAAAGACAATTAGCCGACGTATGGAGAGAGATCCACGGTGAAGACGACTGGGTCGGGATGTTGGATCCCATGGACCCTCTACTACGGTCCGAGCTGATCCGATATGGCGAGATGGCGCAAGCCACTTACGACGCTTTCGATTTTGACCCGTTTTCAAAGTACTGCGGGAGCTGCCGGTTCACCCGACGTGATTCTTTGATGCTCTGGGCATGGTGCAACATGGCTACCACATCTCTAGATACGTCTTCGCTACGTCCAACATTAACCTCCCCAATTTCTTCAAGAAATCACGGTGGCCCAAAGTGTGGAGCAAGAACGCAAATTGGATTGGATATGTTGCTGTTTCTGACGATGAAACATCGAGACGTTTAGGTCGTCGGGACATCACCATTGCCTGGAGGGGCACCGTGACACGCCTAGAGTGGATTGCAGATTTGATGGACTTTTTGAAACCAATCTCGTCCAACAAAATCCCATGTCCCGATTCGACGGTAAAAGTTGAAGCCGGTTTCCTCGATCTCTATACCGACAAGGATACCAAATGCCGGTACTGTAAGTTTTCTGCTAGGGAGCAGATTTTAACTGAAGTGAAAAGGTTGCTCGAACTGTACAAGGATGAAGAGATGAGTATTACCATAACCGGTCACAGTTTAGGCAGTGCCCTTGCAATTCTCAGCGCCTATGACATCGTTGAAACGGGTCTAAATGTGTTGAACGACTGCAGAGCCGTGCCTGTTTCTGTCTTCTCAATTTCAGGTCCTAGGGTTGGTAACGTGAGGTTCAAGGAACGGCTCGAGACACTCGGAGTTAAGGTCTTGAGGGTGGTGAACGTGCATGACATAGTCCCTAAATCCCCAGGACTGTTTTTCAATGAAAACGCATTGCCGATGGTGATGAAGCTGGCTGAGGGCTTGCCATGGTGTTACTGTCATGTCGGAGTTGAACTTGCTTTAGGTCACACACACTCGCCGTTTTTGAAGCAGACTGGTGATCCGAGTTGCGCACATAACTTGGAAGCTCACTTGCACTTACTTGATGGGTTAGTTTCTCACTTGCACTTACTCGACAGGTTATTTCTTATGCTTAAACCATAGGTTATCCTAAATCTGGTTGATTCGCGCCCTTATTCAAATCATTTCGAGTTCTAAGCAAATTTTGGGTTTGTCATTTTTTTACTAACCACCTTGATCCTGCAAACATGATATTCATTGTTAATGGTGGGTTTGATTAGAATAATCGTTGGTGGAACTGGAAAGTTATATAAAATAGGAAGCAATTTGATGATGATGATGTAAGTGATGATTTATAAGATAGGAGTTGAAAACCATTATGTTAAAATAATGACACAACTTAATTTGGCAGATACCATGGAAAAGGCCGGAGATTTGTGCTGGCAAGTGGGAGGGACCCTGCTTTGGTGAACAAGGCCAGTGATTTTTTGAAAGATCATTACTTGGTTCCACCATATTGGAGGCAAGATGAGAACAAGGGCATGGTGAGGAGCAAAGACGGCCGTTGGATGCAACCCGAACGACGGATACTCGATGAACAACATCACCCTGAAGAAATCCACCACCATCTCAAGCAATTAGGTCTGGCATCTGAGTACTAGAATTAAAACTCAAAGCTAAATCTATGGCTTCACAGCATCCTGTATAAAATAGGTAGAAGTTTCATAGGGTTATTGACAAAAAGTACACATTTTGTACCGTGTATCTCTGTTTACCTGAACCATTAATTGAATTATTCATCAATCATGCTAGCATGCAAGATAATGGAGGATGAGCAATCAGCATCGAACTATCCGGAAAAGCTTACAATTAAAAGATCAGACCCCATTGATCATCTTGCTCTGTCTTACCAAATGTGGGTCCAACAAGCAGGCAGCATTTGTGAATGCCAATGCCATCTTCCACAATACAAAGAAAGATCTCTCTTTCTTGGATACTATTATTCAAGAACAAATAATGGAAAAGGAAATGGCTAATGCTATCCTTTCAAAAAGGGAAAATATAGTGTGGTGTATTATTTAGAGCAAAATGGAGAGATTTTTTCAATGGGGAGCCTTATGTAATGGCTCTCATAACAAATTCTCAAACAAAAATCCTTATGTTTAAAGAACATCCTGTAGCTTGCTTTTATGAGTGGCAATCTGAAAGGATTGCTTCGATAAATACGACCATCCGTTCATCCATCCCGAATCAAAATCCATGTTACATCAACTATAAACAAGATGGATTGCCACCAGTAGCCCCAACATGTCAAATTGCTTGAGATGATTAGACAACATGAAGGGTTTACTTAAGGGGCGAAAACTCAGGAAAGAAGAAAGCAAGAAATGCAAGGGTAATTCAATAGATTTTAAAGTAACACAGAGTTTATATCGTCAAGCTTCTTTTGCATACAGAGACTTGTATTTCACACAAACAATAAAAGTTTGCTTCTATGATCACAAGTAAACCGGTATATCCTATGACCCCTTCCCCCCAAACCCAGAAAAGAATCAATTTATCCAGAAAAAATCTCTGCAATTATCCGGGGTTTGTGCTAATGTCATTATTACTTCCCATGTTAAGAGTTGAAAGGAAAATTCAATTTTACAAGTCGTACGAAAAGCATACTGAATTATTTTCACCCTAAATGGAACTCCCACAAGGTATGGCTAACCAACCACTCTTGCTAAACCTCCGCTGTAGTGTTTGCCTCAACACCCGTTTTTTTCCTATGTGACATGATAAAAAGAGCAACACCACTCAGTTTGGGAAATGATGATTAAACTGGAATAACATTACTGGTTGCATAAATAAAAATGACTAATAGACGTAATCGAAATGCTTTGAAACACAGATTGAAAAAAGTTAAACTCAAACCAAATACACCGTTTGACCATAGTAAGTTTGTACTAGACAAATAGTAACAGAAGCAAGAAGCTGGAAATCAGTTGGTCAATAGATGGAAGGAGATCAGGTAAGAGGTAACCATTACTGAAAAACAATTTCTCTTGTATGGTAAAGACTTCAGTGATTTTCAGTTATAATATTAGAGGTAATTAAACATATTAAAGTACAACAAACCTCAGACTCAGAGCTCTGTCGTATTTTCCTAGTAGGAGTCCTCGTTGTGACAAACTCCTCAGCGGCAGGGGCGGATGTACATGGCTCCCTAGGGGAGCCATTGCACACCCATTATTTTGAGAAAAATATTAAATTTAGTTTAATTTATTAATAGGAATAGAAAAAAAATAAGAAAATTTGCATACCCAAATTTTTTAGAATAGGGTATTAATATTTTGGAACCCTATTTTTTAATTTCTAGATCCGCCACTGCTCAGCGGATGTTGGATGAATACCCACTGTGGCATCAAAGTCTGCTTTTGTCAAGCCAGCTTTCACAGCAACAGCAAATCCCTGGCAAACAACTGCCAACATTAGGGGAGAACAAAAAACACAAAACCCTGCAGAACATGAAATAGAAAGCACTAATTTAGGTAAAGCCTTTAACCTGCACGATTTCAGCAGAATCCTCTCCACACATGTGCAGACCAAGAACTTTGTTTGTCTTTGCACAGACTATAAGTTTCATTAAAACCCGATCAGGAAGCCCTGAGAGAGTGGCCTTCAATGGCCTGAAGTTTGCTGTGTAGACATCAATATCACCATATTCTTTTATAGCCTGTAAAACCCTCAAACTGTGAGTAAAATAAAACACTTTCATCTGTTTCTAGTAAGCAAAACAGTTCCTCACCTGTTATTCAGTAAGACCAACTTGTCCAATTGGTGGCTGGGAAAAGACAGCAGAGGGTACAGCTCTACTCAAAATGCATGCGAATATAAAGTCAAAAGGCAATTAAAAGTGAAATAAAACCCATTTCTGTCCCAAAAGCACCCAAAATTTTGAATATGATACGATATTCTAAGCGGGTCCGGGGTCATAATCCAGGGATGTGAATCATTAATAAGTGACACTTGACAACAAGCAAAATCGGAATCTGGCTTCCGTCAACTATATCTCCACTAGGGTAATTTCCAAGGAATTATTAGAGGAGTGCCACATGGCATGTTAAAAAAACCATGCCATATAGTATACTGTTTTTTATTTTCCTTTCTCATTCTCTTGTGACTTCTTTAAAAGATTTATCCTACCAAACATTTGATCCTTTAAAGCACCTGAATGTGCCTTCAATCATCATCTAATTGCAGATCGCCAAATAACTCCAACAAAAACCTCAGCCACCCCATACATAAAATCTAATAAATTTAAACAGAAGTAGAAAAGAGAAAAAACTTTGGAGTGGAAACACAGGATTACCATCATAATTGTGCAGTAGCGAAAGGCTTTCGAAAGGTTATTCATTCATTTATTTTCATTTTTTTTTATAAGGGGAAAATGAAGTCTGGCATACGCATGACCAACAAGAGAGATAAGGAAGACAAAAGGCTGGAATAGAGGTTTGTTTAAAGAGAAGAAAACTGAAATAAAAAAATAAAATTGTACATATCTATCTATACCTTTGAAATTGTAATATGCCACATATAAGATATCTAAGATTACAGTCAGGGGTAGCCAGACATGAGAAATGGCTTTTCCGGTAGGAAGTGGGAGCAACTACCTCAACTGGTATTTAGCAGAGCAGAGGTAAAAAAAGAACCACCAGTCTTTCTAATTTTACTTAATCCTTCAAAAATTTTCAATCAATCAACTCCTAGTGTTTAGATTACCTATAGTCAGGCTTAGTCGGTTCATTCTGAAACAGAGTTTTTGCTAATGCTCCTCCCTCCATCAAAGCAACAGGTGTCAAATTTATTCTATCGGTGACATCCCCTACAGCCCAAATGGAAGGTACTGTAGTGCACGAGTATTCATCAACCTAAAACAACAATGAGGCAAGAAAAATTATGAATTAAATGAAATAATACTAGTAAAAAAAATTAAAGCAAAGTGAGCTTGAAGATAAGAAAAACAGTACCCCTATCTCCCCATTCTTGTTAGTTTTTACCCCTACTGACTCCAACCCTAAATTCTGCAACGTATTAGATCGCAGTGTTAAACCCAATACAAAATTTATCAAATCCATCATGATTTTAAGGTTCCATCAGTCATTTAAGAACTAGAATCATGCAAAGAAAGCAGTTTAATTACATTTGAAGATGAGGGTTAAATATGTGGCATGCTAACTTTTCTCCTTTATCTTTTTTCTTTATATGCACTGTGTCTCTGGTGGGAGCTTTAGGTTAGTACAGTTACAAATATGTTCGATGTGTCTGGTAATTGGCTACCAGGACATTTACTAAGAGAACTGAGTCACAAAAGTTATTTCAAACCTTGGTATTTGGCCTTCGACCAGTTGCAAACATTATATGTGAAAACCCTTCAACTGTTCCTTTGTTGGTCATCAGAGACAGTGAACCACCAGCTGCCTTAACAATCGCCTGAGGTAACTCCTCTGTGTGAAACTCAATTCCTCTTAGAGACATTTGTTCTTCAACAAAATCCCTGATCTATAAAAAGGACCAATTTCTTACTAAGAACAACAAGATTTCTAAAACAGGTTATCATGCAAATTGCCATAAACATAATAAAATAAACTAGTAAAGCAGCTATCAATTTGCATAATTCTTCACCTCTTCATCAAAACCCCGTAAAACTTTCTTCTGACGAATAAATACATGGACCTCACTTTTCAATCCATTGAAAATGCCAGCAAATTCCAAAGCTATGTATCCCCTGCCGACTATAGCAATCTTCTCCGGTTTTGAGGGCAAATCAAGGGCAGCATCAGAATCTATGGCGAACACTCTTCCAGGAATCTCAGGAATAAATGGAATGGACGCCCACCGACCGAAATCAGTATATGTCTTGCAGTGTAAAGTTTTCCATCTACATCAACAGTGCGTGAATCCACAATCTGCAGGACATCTCAATCTCATCAAAATGTATTCACAATGAAGAACCACTAAAAAAATACAAATACAGGTCTTCCTACCTGTCCACGGCCTTCAATTAATTTAACACCAGCATTGTTGAGAATGTTCTTGTAAATACCAGTAAGACGCTGCAACTCTGCGTTTTTATTAGCCATCAAGGTGCTCCAATGATGTTTTGGTTTAGTGTCATATTTCCAACCAAAACCATTACTCTCATCGAACTCGTGAGAATACTTCGACGCATAAACCATCAGTTTCTTTGGTACACATCCTCTGAGCACGCATCTGCAATCATACCTGGGCGATTTACATACAACTTCAAATAAACATAGACGAGAAAAAGAGTGACGGTTCTAAAGGTTAAAATAAGTTTAAGTAGGATTTCATGAATTCGTTTTAGCCTTTAGTTTGCAAAACAGCAAAAGACTTCTGTCACCATAACTTTACCACCTATATTAAGATTGTAAATTTCAAGTAACCCCGATAATTCAAAATGCAATAGACTCTAAAAAATCTTTACTCGTGCAAAAAAAAAATGTTTACACACAATAAATAATTTATAGATATATAAATTTATGTGAAAATGTCCGTTTATATCTGGAGACTTACGTTCCGCCAACGCCGCCGGTGGTCTCGGAGGAAATAGTAGAAAATGGAAGTTCACAGACAGCAACGGAAGCACCAAAATTGGCAGCGAAACGGGAAGCACGAACGCCACCGCTGCCGGCACCGATAGTGAAGAGGTCAAAGTCGTAACTGTGGTTCAGCGTCATTGTCAGACTCAGCACGAGTGGAAAAGGGGCGGCGGCCCTGCAACCGCAGGTGATGGTGGCGGTGGAAGCAAGAGGTAGAGAGAGAAAGGTGGCGTGAAAATGAATAAATGGTATTGGGTAAAGGCACGGAAAGGCTTTGGTAAAGGGTTTGAAGAGTTTGAGCAGAGAGTTTGGGAGTCGAAAAACAAGTAGTTACCATCTTTGGAAGATGGCCCTTTTGTTAAATTTAATCTCTCTTCTTTTGAATTTATTGCACTGCAAAACTACACCGTTAGTACTGACTGGAAATACAAACAGTAATTAAGAAGAACAAATTCTTAAACTGTGTCGTGGTAAGAACCACTGTCTTAGAAATGAATTCGTCCCGATGTGTGTAATCGCTGCAGTAGGCGGATCGTCCCCCGAGGTTAACATGGTCGCTCCGAATTCCGTACACCCGAAACTGGAGTGGACTGCTGGTGGTATTGTACTTCTGATCGGAAAACACTCAGAGAGAACTCACAGAGAAAACTTTAGAAAACACTTTGTAAGTGAATTGTGAATGTTTTTGAATGAGCCGAGCCGAGCCGAGACAAACGGACGGCGGCGGTGCGCGAGAGCCCTCTTTATTCTCTATCACTCAACAAGGAAGTGAAATGTCAAGCCTTAAATATCATTCCCAATAGTATTTCTAATACTATGTGAGATTGAGCATTACCAACAGAATTAATATAGCTTATGTTTTTTTGCTTTGGGTTGGAGGTGGACGGCGGTGGTCGATGGGGTCCGCCGATCAAATAGCTATATATTCAGATGATTTGCGGCGGAGGCGGGTGTCGTCCTTGGGGCTGTTTCGACTTTTTGTTGGCGTAAGTGCTTCCAAGTTCCAAGTTATACTTTCTCTGTGGGTCTTGACCTTTGATCAAAATAACTGAAATAATGATGAGCTGGATTTTGTTCTCTAGGAAAGAAAATATTACGTGTTTACGTTTATTAGTTTATACAAAATTTATCGTAAATGGAGTCATCAAATCATGTATAAATGTAATTGTCTCATGTATCCATGTTAATATTAACCAAAATAAGCATCGACAAAGAAACAATAAAGAATACGAAAGAGAAACATTAATCAAAAAGAAAATGGCCACTGCACATGCAGAAGAAGGTAGTGTTTTACTGCATTCATTTGAACATTAACATTTGCAGAAATCAGCAGCACCCAAATGGAAGTAAAGAGTTTGGGGCTTAGAGAGACAATCCAGATTCCTCATCTTCTTCAAGAGTGGCAGTGTAAACTAAGTGCCGAAACCAAACCGAACACACCCAACAGGATCCACCCCAGAAGGTTGTTACTCAAACCAAAGGGAAGTCCAGTTCCTTCCGTTGACATTCTATCGTCCACCAGACCCATGGCAGGGCTCGACACGGTAGCCGCACACACCGCTGCCAACAAAGAACCACTCATACCTATTGTTGTCGAGCCATTCTCCTTTGCAACACCAGCCTCCTTCTTCTTCATGGAACACATCACTCTCCCTTTCTTCAACCCTGGCAAGTAAAATTCGCAAATATTGATGTTATATACATATCCGTACCGGACACTTACATTCGAATCTGAATTACAAAAATCGAAATGAAAAAGCATATGACCCTTTACCCTGGTAACTGGAGATGCAAGCCTTGGTGATGGCTTGTGTGAAAGAAATGCAGGGGTGAGTGATGAGGTGGCAGTGATGGCCGAGATGATTGCCATTTTCATCGGCTACTACAGCAAGGTGAGTTTTTTTTATACATTGGCAGTATTTGATCCAGAGGGTGTACACTGTACCAGTTTATTTCATTTGATTTTCTATAGATTTTTACATGTTAATACTGTTGGTCCATAATCGGACCACATTGGTAGGTAGCCATTACTTTCAACAACAACAACAACAAAACCCAATTCCCATATGTATGGGGTAAGGGAGAGGTAGGGTAGTAGGCTGCCCCCAACGCCAGGTTGAGAATAGCTTCCGTGAAAGACCTCCGGCAGTCAGAAAATTAAAAATATAGATAAAATGCAATGCATGTATAAATAATTACATAAATACATAGCTAAACAGTATTCATATGCAGTCATTAATATCATATGTGCTTCTGTAATGGGGAGTAATCCCTACAAAATAATCCCTGCGAAAGAATCTCTGCATATAGACAGAAACCTAAGACCCGGCTAAAATTAACAGAGGAAACATGATGAGAATGATACACATGAGACAACGATAGCAAGTCCAGTTCTAATCTTTCATAAATACCAATAACAGAAAAGTATAAAAAGTAAAAGTCATGGAAATTACTACAAATGCATTTAAAAGAAGACAAAGATGATACACCCTATAGATGTGACCCACACTACTCGACTACCCTAGTCTTAAGCCTCCATAATTTCCTATCATAGGTCATGTCTTCGGTAAGGCCTAAATCCATCAAATCAGATCTCAAGCAGTCATCCCACTTCCGCCTTGGTCATCCTTTCCTTCTGGCACCGTCGACTGTAATCGACTCTACCCTCCTGACCGCATCCGACGGTAGTCGCCTAAGGACGTGCCCAAACCACCGTAGTCTTCCCTCCCTCATTTTTTCGGAAACAGACACCACCCCTAAGGACATCCTAATAGCAGAGTTTGTCGTCATATCCCACAGAGTCCTACCACATGTCCATCGAAGCATTCTCATTTCTGCGGCCTCTATCCTCCTTACGTGATCCTTCTTGGGTGCCCAACATTCTGATCCATACAACAGCGCTGGTCTTATTGCCATTCTATAAAATTTTCCCTTAAGTTTTAGAGGCACCTTCTTGTCACACAAAACTCCACTAGCGGCCCTCCACTTTAGCCATCCCGCCTTTATACGGTGTGTAACGTCATCATCTACACCCCCATCTTTATGTATCATAGACCCTAAGTACTTGAAACAATCCTTTGAGGGAAGAACGTGTCCTTCTATGCATACTTCTACATCTTTAACATTTTGGTTCCCACTGAAGTTTGAACATAAATACTCTGTCTTTTCAATATTGATCCTTAAACCTTTTTCTTCCAAAGCAGTCTTCCAGGTAGCCAGTCTGCTATTCAACTCAGATTTTGTTTCAGCCACTAAGACAATGTCGTCAGCGAAAAGCATACACCAAGATACACCGTCTGGTGTCGCACAATAGATGTTAGGTAGCCATTACTTTGATAAACAATATCCACATTAGACCAATTAATTTGACCCACGTGTCACGTTATATGTATATAATAAACAATGACCAATGATAAGCTAAGCTTAAGAGTCAATTTCTGGATTCACAACTAACAAATGACTTCCTTTATGATCCCATTTGTCATATATTTTTCTAGATATTAAGTTTGAATAATTTCTCCTGCACAATGTATGTGAATTTATTTAAAACTAAAATTAATAAATAAAATTATTTGTGAATTGATAAAATGTATAAGTAATGAGGATCATATATGCAATTATATCAATTTTGTTATCTGTCATTTTTACTCTTCCATCAAATGTTAATTACAAATGGTTTGATTAACATCATTTAAATAATTAAGTGGTCTGATTGAAAATAATTAAAAGATTGATGATTATATTGAATCTTTTCATAGCTAAGTGGTCATAGTTGTAGTTTACCCATAATAAATAACAGAAAAATCCCAACAGGGCATATACTTTTTTCAAAAAAAGGAAAAATATCAAAATTAAGCCTTAATGTTATCAAAATGGTCATTTTGACCTTTAATCTATTTTTTAGCATTTTGGTACCCAATGTTTCATTTTGAGGGCCAAAATGCTCCAAAAAAAGAATTGTGGCCAAAGTAACAATTCGGTCAAATGTTATGGGTCTTTTTGACCTAAAATGAATCGTTGGGGGCCAAAATGTTCCAAAAAATATGAGTCAAAATGATCATTTTGATAAATGTTGGGGCTAATTTGACATTATGCCAAAAAAAAAAACGTAGTGGAATGTACAAGGTATACCTGCAGATGGAGCCTCCCTGCATGATGATTGCCATAATTTGATCAAGCCCTTAACAGATTATGGCCGGGAACATAATGGGAGGAAAATTAGTTGTAATTTACATGAAAGATTGTTAAAGAATGGGATCAATGGGAGCAGTTTTTGAGAGAGGCAACGAATCAAAGAATTCCACTTGTGTGCTGTGATCTTCAATTACTCATGGATATTGCACTGTTGCAAGTAAGGATGTTCATACTGCAAATGTTTGCTCCAATAGCCTTTATATTCAGCAATTCCTATTTCCAGCCAGGGTTTCCTGATTCCATCATAGTGTATAACTGCAGCATTCTTGATATTGTCTCGCCTAAGTCCTGGGTTATAACCTAGCCCGAGGGAATGCCATCTCTTATCTAAAGCCACAGTTTGGTTGTAGAAGGTAATCCAACCTAAGGGCAGTCTCCCTGCCTCCGATAATGGCCAATTAAGACCCTGAAACAAGGCACCGGGCAAACAAGCTTGACAAACCAGTATAATTGGAAAATATTAGCAGATACAGCATGCAAAATACTTCACATAGAAACCAGTACGTAATGTACGTGTTTAAAGCAGGGCATTTAGACGTCCTAAAAGATGATTTCTATATTTGAATACGTTCAGTTAACCCGTAAAACTATGTGTACCAGTCACAAGTTGAACAAAGATGTAGGCACGTAGCTATTGCTATAATCAAAGAAAAGGAAGTATATGCGCGTACCAGTTGCAAGTAATTATGGTAGAGCATGGTTAAATTTTGTCTTCTCCATTCTTTGAGATCAAACAAATTCATGCCAAATGCCCACGTGCAAACACTGGAGTTAAACCTCTTCGCCAAAGATTGGTCTGAAATGTTCATAAACAAATTCATGGAATGAAATGAAGCTTTACTTTCCCGACAAGTCTCTACCGCTGCATGTACTTTTCTCTTCATGTCAACAGTCCAAAGTGCAGTTAAATCCCTTTGCACTACCACATCATGATCGAAGAGCACAATCTTATCCACTGATGGAAATATATCTGCTAGATAGAACCGCAGATGACTAAGGGTGGAAGTATATCTAGGATCGTCAGACTTGTATTCCTTCAATGTTGAATAATATTCTGTTGACAACCAATTAAAATTTTCTATGCTCTGAACGTGAATCGTGGCTCCACCAGGAGGATTTAATAAAAACCACATCGAAATTGCTGGGAGGTTGAGAGAATCAGTCAATATGTGAAAAACGATTTTCTCTGGCTCCTGCATAACCGATGTTATTTATCAGGTATATCACATCGGTATCAGAAATCTTTGCCAAATCCTGAATTAACTGTAGCTAACTCATCAAAGATAAGGAAAGCAATGACAGAAGAATATCATCTCTCTAAATGGAACCTGATCTAATGGCACCAGCAATGTGATACCGCAAAGCATCCTGGCATGTTCTAAGTTTAACAGCAAAAATTTTGGTCAAGTGACTTTTTATAATGACAAATTGACAATTACTTTCAATAAAAAAATAAACATGTTTAGGTTTAGCATCACAAAATAAGCAGAGATTGGAAGTTACCGAAAATGCTTAAAAAATAGCGTACAAATCACAAAGATGGTTTACCTTTGCAGAGGCAGTTGTGGAGTTGACAACAACTGCACAAGCCAGAATTTCGTCAGAGAATACTGCATAGTGATAAAGGTCTAGATCATGCAACTTGTGCTGGTTAGGAAACTGTCTTTCCTCAGGTTGAAGTAAAAAATATTCGGCTGTCAACCGCATGGAGAGGCAGTGAAGGCCTTTAGGGGTGGTCCTTCCTGCAAGCTGAACAAGATATGACCCTTGATTCTTCTCTGCTTGAACCTGCTCCTCAGTATCATTAACCGTAGCACAAAGTGTTTTGTCCGCTCCGAAGCAGTCAGCAAATGTGTGATTCATTTTAGCCAACCAAACCTCCATAGATCTTATCATGCGCGATGAACTGAAAATTCAAATGTTCTTCATATATAAAGTTCCGTGGAAGCAATTTAACCCTAAATGAATTCAAGTTTCTTACTGGATATAAAATGCATTGGTAAAATCATTGCAAAGCAAAAACTGTCTTACCTCCTTGGCAAGTCTGAATCATTGCTGGCTTTACGAACTGCCCGTTCCACCTGTTTGATTTTCCTTCTCAACTCTCTCTCCAATTCAGGGTAACTACCTGGTCGTCCAAGACTTAAATATGCTTTTGCTCTAATGAGCTGCTCATTCATCTGCTTCAGCCTCTTATTCGTTACACTACGTGATTGGGTCCTCAAGTGTTGATTATGTGTACCTGCTTCTCGATTGAATTGCTCCTGCAGCCAATGAATTAGTGCTAACCAAATTAAACTAACATGACTTGCTCTAGCACTGACCAATCTGGCTAACAACCACACTGCATGGAAGCCCCACCCCAATATACAAGCAAACATACATGTATATATAAACCTTCAGGTTGATGTCAATAATACCAACTGTCAAAAACTTTGTGGTAAAAATCAGACTTGCCACTTTATTCTTATTCCGGTATTGCTGAGATGTTTTAGAGATGAGCCATTGCGTCAGAGTTCAGACAAACAGAAGCACTAAGTCGAGAGCTAAAATTTATTTGGAAGCAAACTAAAATCTCATGAAAATGAACTTGTCACACGAATAGGTAGAAGGATTATCATCTGCTGAAATTTTCAATACCAGCTCAGTTTTACCTGAACTATGTGGTGTCAGCTAAACAAAACCCTTCATATAGATTTCAAAACAGACAAGAGAATAACAATTCCAACATATGTTTTCCTTCACGAAGATTAGTAGTAGACACCACAGCAACCATCTACAGTCTAGATTTCCATTCAATCATGTAGCATCTAGTCACACTTCAGACATTTACACACCTGTTTCCTCGATCTTCTCGGCACTTCCTTTTGCTGAATTCGAAGCCTATCTTCGCCTTTACCTTTAATTTCTGAATCTAGAAAGTGGAGCAACTCAGAGTCACTACTGAATCAATAACCAAATGTAAGTGATAGAAGACAGTACATGCACCCAAGGAATACAAACCATTAGCTTTTGACGACTTGGAGGCATGTTGAGCATCCCTATATTGATTTGAATCACGATTCTCATCAGAACTGTGACTAGCTACAGAACTACTATGATCCTTCTCGTTCAAGACAATAATTTTTCGCCCTTTTAATTCCTCTGAAGCTTTCTAAGTAACAAATAAACAAATATCAACTGTCAAAAACACTCTGAGATACAAAAATCCAAAGCAAAAAAATAGTGAACTTGTAAATCTTAAAACTACCTGTTCAATTGCATTCAGTCTTAAATAATCTGTCTTATACTTCTGCATCAAACAAAGCAAAACCCCATTAGAAATCTAGGGGTAAAAAGAAGAAAAAACACAGCAGATTCAAAGTAGATAAACCCATACCACACTCGCGAAATCCTCATTAAATTCGTCTTGTCCTGCCGTTACAGAATCACAAATGCAAACAAATACAGATCAGGATGTCTCTAAAAAATGTAATCTACAAAATAAAAGGAAATCGAATCATAAAAGGCTAAATTCTCATTTTGAAAAATGCGAAAAGAACCAATTCGATATCTTAGCTTAAATTTATATACACTGCTAAGTAATTCTCTTTGGTTTTATGGTCTGATCAACAACTCCATTAACAAGAAAAGCATTTGCTTTTTCAGAAAAAAAATATTTGACAGATTACCTATGGAATTGAGGGGTTTTAGTTTCTGAGAAAGCAACACCATTGGAGCAAATAAAGAGAAAGATAGCAAACAGAGGATCAAAATCCTCTGCCGCCAACGCTTCTTCTTCATCAATCGATAAAAATGAGAAAAAAATAATTTAAAAAGATTCTTCACTTGATTTTCCATTTCCTCTCTTAATTGCATGGTTTTCAGAAATGGACTGGTTAATGAACCGATCATGTTATCAGTTCACTGATTTAACCGGTTGAATCGGTCAGACTGGTCGAAAGAATCGAACGACGTCATAATTATTTAAAAAATTAAATAAAAATACTAAAAATATTTAATAAAAAATAATTTTATATATCACAAGTCATATTCAAAGCAAGTCATAACATATATAAGTTAAAAATCATAAAATCAAATGAAACAAAATGATTCAAATTAACTACAACATAATATTTAAGGTAAAACATATTAAATAATAAATATAATTATATAACTATAATTAAAAAATAAATCTGAGACTAAAAAATCATAATAAAATGATATTGTTTGGTTTAATTTTTTTTTTAAAAATATCTCACGGCTAAGAAATATAGAAGAATATTCCAAAAGTCTAAAGAGTAAAAATATGAGAACAAAACAATCTCACATGGCTAAGAAACATAGAAGAGCATCCCAACTAACTTATATAAATAATAGAGGTAATTTGACATTCAAAATCATGGAGACTTTTGGTGAGCATAGAGTGAACTATTCTTTCACTTCAATCAAGCTCGAATTTTAGGTTTCAATCGAACTTCTAAATTTTTTTTGAGTTCAAGCCTTTTCGAGTTTAAGTTTCAATATTATATTTCGAGTTCGAGTTGAACTTGATAACTTTTAGTTCGTGAGTTTGAGTCGAGTTGAGCTTAATTTTAAAGTTTGAGTCGAGCTCAGCAATACTCGAGTTCGACTTGGCTCGTTTAACAAATGATGTCGTTTGGTTTAATTTAAAAAAAAAACAAAATTGGTGGTTTTTCCCGGTTTTCAACCGATCCAGTTCGAACAGTTCAACGGTTCTGATCGGTTCACTAGTAGTGATTCAACCGGTTTAATTTGAACCGGACTAGACAACGGTTCCCGATTGAACCGGCCGATCCGGTCCGATTTTCAAAACAATGCTTAATTGCACTCCAAAAACCACATTTCACATACTCAAACCCGCAGTGATCCGATGCAGGGGTTACAAGGATCAAGAAATGTTTTAATTCTTTGTTTTTGGAGTTTCGTTTACGTTTTGATGTTTCTTGGATTATGGAAAAAATAAATTTACTTGCGTTAATTCTGGATTTATATACCTTACCAGCCAAGCCATAGGGTTTTGCATGATAATTTTGAATCGCGAGAAAGGGAGAGAGTGATGGAAACGATGGTGGCTCTAGAGTTTAAAAGGGTAAACTACACGAGTGACCACTCGATTATTTTATACTTTCATTTTCGACCATCAATGTTTTAATTTCAGCAATCAAACTACTCAACTATGTAAATGCTTCAATCAAACCACCATCTCTTAACTTTAAATAGAGAAGGTGACGAAGAAGTTAAAAATCGGGTATAATTTCATATTTAATCCTCAATACTTATACATTCTATGAATTTGGTCATAATTGAATTCCATTAAAATAAATTTAATCTTCATTTAGATAATGACACTTGTCATTAACTAAAGAGAGAAAATTAAGATCAAATTAATAGAATGTATAAAAATTGAAGATCAAATATGCAATTATATCAAGTTTTTTCAGAAAGTGGCTTGATTGAAATATTTAAATTGTTATATGGTTTAATTGAAAAAATCAAAACATTTATGATCAAAATGAAAGGAGATAATAGTTGAGTGATTACTCATGTAATTTATCGAGTTTGAAAACGCCTAACAAAACAATTCATATCTAATACTTAATTAAACAATTACTTTAGGCTTTATTCTTTAATTTTCTTAAAGCATTTTATTTTATGTTTTGTTGAGGCATAATTTCTATTGATTATATGAAAATCATTAAATTAGTGCTTATTGATGATGTGATAAATTTTATATGTCTAAAGCAATGATGTGGTATATTTTATATTGTCATTTTGAACAAATGAAAATAACACGTTATCATTTTGAACATGTGACATATATCACGTGAACACTTTAAACGCATAAGATTTATCATATTAGCAATAAATGTTGACATTTAATCATATAATGATTTTTATCCATACAAAGGATATAGTGTTTTGTGCGGTTGTAAGTGTACACACTTTTGGGGTTCAATGTGATCGCTATAAGGTGTAAATTTGACAAACAATGGGTTGAGATCGTCGAATTTTATGGGATTTGTGAAGAATTTTGTCACGTGAGGGCGAGATTAAAGGCGAATTTGATAAGGTCGGGTACAAACGAAGTAATATATATATGTTACTTGGTTTATATTAACTTGAGTCAATTTGGACCTTAGCTAATTCAAACATTGAGCCTCTTAGACCTTTGGTTTGCTTTAGTTTAAGATTAAGAGATTTAGGAGGTGGTTTGAAGTTGAGATGAATTCGGATTCAAGTAAAGGAAGGGATGAATTTAAGGTCAGACTTATTTAATATTTATAATCTATTTCTTTCTACTAAAGTTACTTGTTTTAAAAGTAATGCTAAATAAAAGTAATCATATATATATATATATATATATGCACTTGTAAATTAATTAAAAAGCCATATATAAATATTATCGTATAATTATCTTGAACTATTTAAAAAATATTCTTTAAAAAAATTTATCCTCTTAAAAATTCGTCATGATGCACATAATGCCATGCATGCTCTCTTCAATATTTTTTTAAATTTTTTTAAAAGTTCATTACATGCATTTATTTTACATTGAACATTCAAGTTATTACTGTACATATAACTTTTTTTTCCTGATCATACATCATTAAATTTTGTACGAGATTGTGATAATTAATAGGTTTTATATATAAAAAAATTGGTGTTAAACCAATTTTTAAAAAAGGTACACTTAAATTTTTTCTAAATTTAAATATTATTTTTGACCAAACAAAGTTTAAATAATAAAATATATCAAATTATCGATTAAACATCGGAAAATAAAAGCTAAAAGTTAAAATGAATAATTTCTCCATCGTATAATTGAAATAAAATTTCATAAGAAAATACTTTTATTTTTTATATGCACCAATCCTTTCCATTTCCTTATCGATAAACAACAATTTCCACAAATGTCAACATAATTAGTAAAGATATCATTTTTCTCATATCAAAATCATAGAAACCACTGCATCCTTAAACATTATTAAAACATAGCGTAGCCAGCGACAACAGTAGCTACAACTCTGGTGACAGTGGAGACCTTAAGCGTGACACCATTTCCAGGAGTAGGAGCAGAAGCCTGTGCAGAAGGAGAACTAACATCGGCTCCTCCAGGTAAACTTGTTGGGCTGCCGGAGGAACTAGCACCGCCGGGTGCGGGGGCCTGTGAACTAGTAGACTTAGAGCCGGCAGCAGAAACCAAACCAACGAGGGCAATCAATACCAAAGCAAAGACAACGATTTGACGTGTCATTTTTTGTGTTGGGTAAGTAAAAAAGAGAAAAGATTGGCGGTGGAGAAATGCAGATTTTCTCTAAAGTTTTTTTAATTAACAGTAGAGAATCACTGCGGGATGCATAAAATGACTGTTGGTATTAGTATTCTGATCATATATTTAATAAGTTTTACAGATTAAAAATAGATTGCATTAGCGGACTGAATTAAATTTCGGCTTCTTATTTAACTAAAAATTAGGAATCATCGTGTGGTGTGGAGGAGAAATCTTATTCATTGTTTTCTCTGAATAAGCCATGAGTTTATGTTTTATCCCAAGTCCAAATATTGTTTGTTACTGCCAAATTCCAAACGGTTGCAATGGGAAGAGGCAAACGAGGCAAATTTGCATTTCTTAACTTAGTCCACGCGATCTACTTGACGCGCCAACTCTAGTTTCCTTTGCCAATATTTTTAGGGTAAACTATATGTTTAGTACCTAAACTATCAATTTTATTTCCATTTAGTATCTAAATATTTCCATTTAGTATCTAAACTTTCATTTGTTTCAAAATCATACATAGCATTTACTTTTTGTTTCGTTTTGGTATCTTGCCATTAAAAATTTTAACTGGTATGTTACAGCATGACACTTTTTTTTATGGATAAATTACATCATTCATCATTCAACTATCTTCTCACTCCTATTTTGGTCACCGAAGTTTAATTAAAAAAAATAATTACTTAACTTTCAAATTTCCTAATTTAATCACTCTAACTTTCAAATTTATTTTTTAATTTTAATTTTATATTAAGAAATAACAAAAATAAATGCCATGTCACAAAAAATATTAATAAAATAAATTATAGTGATTAAAACATGATTAATTTGAAAGTTGAGTAGTTAAATTGAAAATTTTTAAACTTTAGTGACCAAAATATGAGTGAGAAGATAGTTAAATAATGAATGGTGTAATTTACCCATAAAAATTTGATGTGAAGCAATTCTGCTAAGTTTTTAACGAAGGGGTACTAAAATGACACAAAAAGTAAACGTTAGGTATGGTTTTGAAACAAATGAAATTTAGGTACTAAAACAAAACAATACCAATAATTTAGGTATTAAACATGTAGTTTAGCCATATTTTTAGTAAATTATATAAATAAAAATTAAATTATATTAAAATAATTTTTTATTATTAGCACGAACCAAGTTATCTCAGTGATTAATGAATTTGTTGTTATCCCTTTAAGTCTCAGGTTCGTGCATGTAAATAGCTTTTACTATTAGGCCACTGGGTTCAAAATTTTAAAATAATCATTAACTTATTAAATTATTTTTAAATAGAGTACAATACACAAATGGTCCCCCGATATACATGACACTACTTTGTTAAGTTTCCTGACTATTAAAAAATACAAAATGATCCCTAATTACGGAGCATTACTTTGTTGAGTCTCATGATTATTAAAAGTTATAAAATTGCAACCCGATTATTCATATGTTCCAAACACGTCATTTTAAAAAACGATTGTAGTTTAAGACGAATGTTAATATACTAATTGAGATGTGATAAAAATATTTTTTAATGATGTATATTGGCATCGTTGTTGCTTTTAAGTACCAGCTCGACGATATAATGTTTTAAGCACTAACTCAATGACATAATGTAAACGAAGACTCAATCCACAAAATACACCTCAAAACAGTTCCGATATAAGACTTTATCATATATTAGTCATCAGGTTAACATTCAGCTCATAAAGTCGTCAATTTTTAACGGAAAAGGATGAGTTTAGAACATATGAATAGTTTAGCGATCATTTTGTAACTTTTACTAGTCAGGTGACTTAACAAAGTAACGTTCTATAGTCAAGAGACCATTTTGTTACTTCTAATAGTTGAGGGACTCAACAAAATAATATCTTATAGTTGATGGATCATTTGTGTACTTTACTCTATAAAATAATTATAAATATTGATAAATTTAAGGACTATTTTATAATAATTTGATAGACTCTAATGATTATTTTATACCATTTAATAAAATTTAATGATTATTTATAACAATTTAATAAATTTAACTATACCTAATAAATTACAAGTATATAAAATCATTAGATATTAAATATAAAAATATAAATTTTTCAAAATAAAATAATATGGCTGAGTTTAAAAACAATTAAGTTTAAATTTCTAGCTAGATCAGACTTGAACAAGTATGGAATGTGTCAATTTTTTTTTTTGCATAAACTCGATCCGATCGAGCATCTCTGGTTTCTATCATGTATTAATGAATACCAACTCAAATAGAAAATGATTAAACTATCATTCTTTGAAACGATAATTAATATTATTAAATGTAGTATAAAAATATTTAAATTACACATTTTTCTCATTTACATATCTAATTTTTTTCTGATGAATGTAAATATTTCATTATTTTCAACATTGTTATTTTAAAATTTTAAAAACGTTACATGTATTAATTAATTTTTTTAACGATGTCATATATCAATCACCTAAAAAATATAATGTTAAAAATATTAAATATTTATTTTAAACAAACAATATTTTAAATATCTAAAATTAATAAAACATATAGTTTGAATACTTAATTTTTTTTATTAAACCCAGAAGAAGAAAAATTTAAAACAAAGAGCCTTAAACACGCGCCAAATGTTGAGGAAAAAGCAAGTAAAGTTTATTGGTTCAAAAACCTTATCCCTCCATTTTTAACTCACACGCCACCACCAGCAAGCGCCAGCCCCATGCTGCGACTCTATCTCTAATTTCCCAATCACTTTCTCCATCATAAAACCCTAACACTACCCTTTTCAAACTATCTTTTCTTCTTCCAAATCTCATCTTTACTCTGTTTCAAAGGTTTTAATTCTCTGTTTTCCCTTTTGTCTTCTTTTCTAATGGCTCGAGAAGCGAATTCGGTTCCGCTCGCAGAGACGCAAGTAGTTTCGTCGAAGAAGAAAAACGCGGTGACAACGAGCTGGATTTCGATAGACACGAAGGGGCGGGGCGTGATTCTTGACGTCGATAAGTATGCTATAATGCGCCGCGTTCAGATTCATGCTAGAGATCTTCGTATTCTTGATCCCATGTTATCTTATCCTTCCACCATTTTAGGGAGAGAGAAAGTAATTGTTCTCAACCTAGAGGTAATTTTTATTTTGTTTTATTTCTCTTTTTTGATATTTTCTTTGGATGACCATAAAGCTGTTTTTATATTGGATTGCAGCACATTAAAGCTATAATCACAGCAGAAGAGGTTAGTTTATAGAATTTGAACATTTTATTCAACTTTGAGATAGTAAAAATTTTGTTATTATGTCAATTTAGGAGGTTTTACTTTTGGAGGTGAGTTGTGTTTTGTGATAGGTATTGCTTAGAGATCCATATGATGAGAACGTAATCCCCATTGTTGCTGAACTTAAAAGGCGGTTGCCTCAAGATAATCTCACACGTCAAGGCCAAGGAGAAGAAGAAGAAGAACAACCTGGTGCACAAAACGATATTGTTAATGAGATAGAAAATGGTACCCATTAACTTTAGGATGAAACTCTTTCGGTGGTTTTATTGGGTTAGAGTTATGACCCAATTTCTTTTTAGACCATACCATGAAGTTACAAATTACAATAAAAAAAGTGTGGTGAACGTGTGAGGCTTGCAGGGCGGGTGAAGCAGTATAATCTGTTTGATCCTTAAAAATAGAATGTAGGGAATAGAGTTTTGTGATGTAGCAAATCTTGTATTTTTTTGACATAGTGAAATTTTCTTCTCTCTGCCCGTGGTTTTTCTTTTTGAGTTTTCCACGTAAATCTTAGCGTTTTTTATTTTTCTGTTCGATCGTATTTGTTTGCTGTTAATCGTTATGATAATTATAACATATTGTGTATATCAATACCATTGATATATAGCCGGGTCGTTTTGGTATGTTTCATGCAGAGTTTCCATTTGAATTCCGGGCATTGGAAGTTGCATTAGAAGCAATTTGTAGCTTTCTTGATGCGCGTACTAGGGAACTGGAGATTGATACTTATCCAGCATTAGATGAGCTGACCTCCAAGGTAATTTCTCTTTGAATTGTTTGTCCTTCATTTTATAGCCTAAGCCATTTAGTGATCGGTGGGCTTTGTCTACTCTATTAGTTTCTCATTACAGCAAATGTAGTCATTTTTTTGCCTGTCTTCTTTCCTTCTGGTTGTTGAAAGTGATGAAAAGCATACATCATTACAGTCACAAAGGCAGAATTTCATGAATTTCATACAACTATTAGAAATGTACATTAACTTTTTTCTGAAAAAATTGAAATCCCTGTTTTTTTATAGCCAAATCATTCATTTGCTACTTAGGTATATATCTGCGATGTTTCTACTGCAGAATCTGGCATTCTGCCATTTTACTACAAGTGTTGTTCAATAATTGCTATTGCTTTATTGCTTCACCTGCCAAACTTGACTCAGTAATGGCAATGATTACTTTCCATGGTGGTACCTGAGTGATTTGCATTGAACTTATGAGGCAAACTAAGAGAAAGAATTCTTGGTAAAAGGTCGGGATGATATCAGTGTTTGGCTCTAGTGTCAAGAATGACGTTTATTTATAGTTGTTTATAAGACTGGTAGTCTAGTACCTACCGCAAGGACATACATGTCCAGAAGCCACGAGATAAACTATTGTTGGAGGGGTCATAAAACGGTTTAATGTTTTAGGCATCATTTTTTCTTCTTTGTTTGGAATTGGTTCATATGAAGTCTGCTTTCTGAGTTTCCGAGTTTTGGATGAAATCCATTTTGGGATCAGTAAGTATTGGGATGAAGTATAAATGGTATATGGAAAACTGTAAAAAGCATTCTATTTTTTTATTTCCCCCCCTACATTGCAATAACCAGAATGTCAAAGAAAAGATCTTACAGCCTCATGATGGAATGCTGTCACTTAGATTCAGTCTTTTAATTGCCATTTAACATGGAATTATAACAATCTATGTTATAGTTTTTCATCTGATTTACCTTTATGATGTTTAATATTCATTAGTACTGAAGAGTTCCAGAAATTCAATTTCGTAGTTTTCTCAGCTTGCTTGCAAGAGAAGTTCAGTTACATGCAATAATTGTGATTATGTGGTCAGATAAGCAGTCGTAACTTGGACCGGATTCGTAAACTGAAAAGTGCAATGACAAGGCTTACAAACCGCGTTCAAAAGGTACGCACCATGTCATTATTCTGGAATTCAAAAGTTTGGTTCCCAGTGTTAGGTGATTTCTTTCTTTCTCAGCTTCGTTTTGGCCTACTAGAAAACATTAAGCTGCTTACAGCTTTTCAGTGATACTTTTGATAATATCATAACCGCAATAACATGAATAAATCTTGAACAAGTTTCCTTTTTAGGGCTAGATTTTTCTGATTGGTCTATCATGTAGAATGGTCCATCTAATTTCTGGACTGAAAATTTTAATTTAGAACACTCTTGTAAACTACAACTATTTTTTTATATATACTGGTACAATCTAATACTGTTTTAGTTCACTTTGTCTAGTAGAGTTGTAAGTGTGATCACAATTTCAAATGTTTTTCCTAAAAATTGGAAAAGCCTAGGGGAGCATTACTTGAAGGGGTGTTTTGCAGCCAAAAAACTATTATATACAAATACAATTTCTTTAAGCTTAAAAGGAAAATGTGAAGGATAGACAGGAGAAGAAAGAAAAACCAGTAACATGCTAATGGAAATATCATTATATCTTCTTGGGTAATAACATAATTGATACTACGAAATAAACTGATGGAATATCTCCAGGACTAGGATAATTCATAGTCTGCATCTCTGTTTTTTTATTCCTTGACTCATTCATGGTATGGTTCATGTATCCTGAGTTCCAAAATTCAGTTTTACAGCTGATATGGTTGCTGGTGCCTTGTAGACGTCATACACAGCCAATCCTATGGCATTAGTGACCGGATCATAAAAACATAGAGAACTGGATCTCTAATCATGAGTTCGGACTCATCATTTATCAACATTTTTATTTTTAGGTAAGGGATGAACTCGAACAACTTTTAGACGACGATGATGATATGGCAGACCTTTATTTATCAAGAAAGTTGGCTGGGGCTTGTTCCCCTGTCAGCAGTTCTGGTGTTCCAAATTTTTATCCATCCTCACCAACTATAGGTTCAATGTTATCAAGAACCAGCCGGGCAAGTGCAGTAACAGTTCATGAGGACAGCGATGTAGAGGAGCTCGAAATGTTGTTTGAGGTTATTGATGTCATTACCTGTGGCGGGTTTCCTTTAGTTAACGCAAAATCAAAAGTTGATATTTTCTTCTGGATTATGCAGGCTTACTTTATGCAAATTGATAGTACGCTGAACAAATTGACTACGGTATGCCCCTGACTATTTTACATTAACTTCTGCTTTAATCCCATAATTATTGTTGAATAACTATCCATTTTCCGACCAGCTCCGTGAATACATTGATGACACAGAGGATTATATCAATATTCAGGTGATCAGCTAAAGGAATTTATTTTGAAAACAAAAACTACGGTGAAAATTGCTGAAGGAGGGTTTTGATTGTTCAGGGATATCTATGAATGTCCCATATTACTTGACAATCTTGCTTTATTATTGGTGCTCGGAAGTTTACTGTAGTTATCAAAATTGGCAATTTAGCAAATTCAAGTATCGGATCCTAGCATGTGATCTTGAATCTTGATAATCTAAATGCATTCTCTTGCAGCTCGACAATCATCGAAATCAGCTAATTCAGGTAATTCACTAAAATTAGCCTCCAAACCCTTTTTTCTGTTGTTCATTGGCCTAACATTAATGAGTTTCCACTGTATGTGTCAGTTAGAGCTCCTCGTAAGTTCTGGGACTGTTTGCTTGTCTATATATTCTTTGGTTGCTGCAATCTTTGGAATGAATATTCCTTATACGTGGAACGACGGCCATGGATACGTATTTAAATGGGTATGTATCTCAGAATCCAGATTTGAACAATTACGTTTTGTATAGTATTACATGTTTCACTATGAAGTAATCGTATCTAGTTTGTTCTATTCATAATGCTATTATTTGAACCTTTTGATCAAGAAAATATGTTTTTTTACTCAGGTGGTCATCCTCACTGGATTGCTATGTACGTCGACTTTCACATCAATAATGTCCTATGCGAGGCACAAGGGTCTTATTGGGTCTTGAAGTCCATGTAACCAAAACTTCAAGTACACTCAATATCATTATTTATATCATGCTTTTATGGTGTTGATGAATAATGTCCATGCGCATCGCGCATGTAGGGTCATCCTTTTGTAACTGGCAAAAAACGTCGTATAAAGTGTATCCTTATGTCGGCAAATATCCATGCAAGTAGGTGATAAGGTTGGTGACACTAAAGGTCCCAATTTAAGAATATTAGCAATGATCATAAATAAATAAGAGAAAATAAAATGTTTTTACTGTGCAACGAAGAATTATTGTTTAAGAATTAATTTTGTCCTAATCAGTATAATTGTAATATGGATGTTTCTTTTAAAGTTAAGACAAAATTTCAAATTTATATACATGAGTAAGAAAGATAAAACTTAATTGATATTAATCTTTTTAGAAGAAGATTGATGAAATATGAGAAAAAAAAAAGAATTACTCATAATCTATGGGTCTATAAAAAATGAATTCAGCCTTGTTTTTTATAGGTAAAAAAAATGGTGGTTGTTTTCTGAAGCTCAACCATATATATAAATTATCTCATTAAAACTATAACAATAAATATAGTTAAAATTTTATGTTGTTTAAAATAACCTTATAAAAATAAAGTGAGTGTGTCTAAAAAGAAACACATCGTATATATATCATGTGTTGCAAATACATGTTAACATGATTATAAATCCGATAATAAATTATGATGAGGTACATATGTATGGGTCTTACCAATAATTATCTAATAAAAATAAATTAAAAGAGTTATATTTAAATATTTAAAAAATCTTTATCAGTATGAGATATTACTTCTTTATTATTATAGCCTGATTGGTCGGATCTCCCTTGTGACATTGTTTTTTTGGAAACAAAGAGCCAAAAAAATTAGTGGGTAGATAGATCTAGTATATTAGGCATGTCTGAATTAAAAACGTGATGAGCTTCCTGAGGGGGTTGAGTGAGCGTGGAAAGCTCCATGCTTCGGCAATATCCCATGCGAGCAAGGTAGTTAGCAAGCCTATTAGCTTCCTTTGGAGTGTGACTGATTCTAACGCTCCACGACCGGTTGAGAAGAGCACGGATTCTCCTAAGAAGCATAGGCTCAAACGACTGGGGAGGAGAGTTGAGATTGCAGACCACTTGAATATTATCGGTGATGATCACAATATATCGGAAGCTATGTTGCCAAGCAAGTTCAAGATCATCTCCAACAGCCCATAATTCGTCTTGGAGGGCAGTGTATTTGCCTATTCTCCTGCTATATCCAACGATCCACTTACCATTCTCATCTCGAAATACACCTCCACTCGCCGTTTTCATGGAGCTTGGTTGCATCGCTCCATCCGTGTTTAACTTTAAAACTCCCGGAGGAGGAGGCTTTCATTTGGTCGAGCATCTATGTTGAACAGGTTGGGTTGTATACATAACCTTGCCTTGTTTGATCTAGCCTGCCCAAGCTTTGACCGATAGAAGGAGATCGAAGGAAGCATCAATTTGCCCGTTAAACACTACATTATTGCGATGCTTCCAAAGCTTCCAAATAAGGATCCCAAAATGGTGTCTCCAGTGATAATCCATAATATCGTTCCCTGCAAAGTTAGAAAGATTAAGGTGCAACCAATCAAATAATGGCAGTGAAAAAAATAAAGAAGATTGAGCTAGAATAATATGGTTCCATATTGTTCGGGCTTGGTGTCGATCCCTAAGGATATGGGTAATTGATTCCTCCTCAGCGCCGCACAACGGACAATGATTATCATCCTTCGGTATTGATCATAAGTCGACGGCGGAGAAGCAACCATATGAACTACTGAATTATCTGTGGGTCATCGAAACTCCACGTTAACTTCCATTTTGCATCAGGCTCATCCCAACTATATATCCTTCTAGGTACACATAAAAGCAGATTTCACAAAGCACAATCCCGACTGATCCCAGCGCCACACCGAAAGATCCTTGCCCAAATCATCCAAGGGAGGAGGAGTTCCTAACACACGCTGGACAAGGTCAGTAGGGAGTAATTGACGCAAGTGTTGAACATGCCAATATCCATCACTAGTAATCAAATCACGAACGGAAGCTTGAGGGAAATGAAGTTGAATCGAACCAAAAACTGGTCGTGCAACCATTTTTTATAGCCCAACTGACATTATCACGCACAATAGGCCAAATCCGGGTAAGTGATTTCCAAACAAAAGAACCACTCTTCGCTTCAATGCTTATGAGCATTCTATCCTTAATTTTATATTTGGCTATCATGATCTTGGAACATAAAGCATCGGGTTTCATGATGAAGTTAAATCCTAACTTAACCAGGAAAGCATCGTTTTGAGCTCGAAGGGGCCTTAATCCAAGACCACCACACTCAGTAGGTTGACAACAGGTCTCCCACTTCACCAGAGCAGCTTTTATTATTTCAATGATGTATTTTTTTTTTTGTTTATATTAGGAATTCTCTTATGCCAAAGATGTATTTTTTTTTGTTTAAATCAATTACTATGGTTTTTTTTTTCAAAGAAACTAATATTATTTCAAAATTTATATTTACGTAATAATATTATTTTTAATTTGCAATATTACAAATAATATAAGAGTTTGAAGTTTAATTATATTCTATCAGTTAAATATGGTCAAAAAATTTAGAGAATATTATAATTACGTTATGATTTCTCTATTTTATTTATTTATTTCTCTCACAATAAGGATAAAAGGGTTAGGTTAGTATTTAATGCATAATGAACGACATCGTATGCAACACAAGAGGCCTAAAAGCCTTTTCCATGGTATATAAAAATAAAAATAAGGGAGAACAAAAAATACATTAAAAAGGTAACCGAAAACTCTTGTGTTGTGTGTTTAGATTTCAGATCATCGTCGTGCTCCTCTTCTTCTCCGTTGGTAAAATCCATGTCGAAACATCATCCTTTTGTCTCCAATCTCACCCCCTTTCTTTTCAAATAAATAAAAAAAGAAACATTCTCCATCTCTGCTTTACGCCGCCATATCTCTCTTACCTTTTGTTTTCCTTTTTTCCCTCCGTTCTCTATCGAGCTTCTCTGCCAATTAATTACCCCTTTTCCTGTTAGTATTTCCATCACTGGTTTTAATGCAGTTTTTATCAACATACGCACGTAAAAAATACCCCCTTTGCCTTTTGATTGTCGTTGTTCATATGCTGTGAGAGAAAGCGATAACGTGCAAAGAGGGGGATTTGTCTTAATCATTGAGTTTTCAAAGAAGAAACAGAGAAGGTAAACGGAGTCGGATATGGCTAATCAAGTCGTCAAAGTGAGGAGAGAAGCGATTGCGGCATGCATGACTTGCCCTCTTTGCAATAGGCTCGTTAGAGATGCCACCACCATATCCGAATGTCTTCACACGTGTGAGATTTCTCTCTTTCTTTTTTTCCTTTACCTTCAAAGTTTCAGTTTTTTTTTCTTGGGTTCTACTCCTTATCGAACAAGGATTTCTCTTGTTTTTCCCGTTTTATTAACTAGGTTTCTCTTATTGATTTCTTCGCTTAACGTCTCATTGTTATTCAATTTACTGTTTTCGTTTCGTTCCTCTTTGTTTCTAGCTGGTTGATGCTAAGGCATCCTGGTAGGATAGAAAAATTACTATAAGATTATGAATTGGTATTGTTTAAAATCTAGGATTTTGCTAATGAGTGTGCCTAAGTCACTTTAATATGGTTACTTTTACATATATATTACTATGAATAGTATATGATCCAACGATACTATTTAAAAGAGTCCTTAAAGCCCTAAAATTTATTTTGAACAGTTATTGTTTTCCACATTCAGCTAAGGGTTCTTGCTATCATATATACTTTATTTCCAATTCAAGGGTCTTTTCCAAGATATGAGCTTTCTCTTTTTTTTTTTGGTTTTACAAGTTCATAACGATTCAGACTTCAAGATGATTTTTTCCTGTTTTTGAAATGGAACCAACATTATGCAAGTTACACTAGTGTTTTCAGTTGCTTTAATTACTACACTTACTCGGCTTGTTTCCATTGAACTTTTTTTTTTTGCAAGATTGATGCGTGAGATCTTTTGTTTCCTAGCTAATTTGTTGAATTGATAAATAGAAATATATGATTGATTTGTGCTTTTGAGTTTTATGTAGTTTGCAGAAAGTGCATATATGATAAGATAGAAGATGAAGATTTAGAATGCTGTCCAATATGCAACATTAGTTTGGGTTCTGTTCCTCTGGAGAAATTAAGGTACACTTGTTCCTTCATTTACTTATTTTCTCATATGCTACCTTTCTCTCTGTCTGATATGTTAGTTTCTTCCCGTACGACCAATGTTTTTTATATGTAAAACAATTGCTTCTAGTTTTTTAACTTCTAATCTTGTTTAATACTCGAAAAGATTTATTCAAGAGGCTACTAGAAAAGTTGCTGATTTGTTATGCCTTAGGATCATTGATCATATAGAATTAGGAGTCATTCCATCATTTTTGTGGTTTGCAGTGGCTTCTACACGCCATTATCAGTGTTAACTGTTAAGTAAATGTAAGAACTTGATGCTAAAATCAAGGTGAAAAAATATGTTGAAGTGGAAAGAAAGACCTACTGGCGGATTCATATAATTGCATGCAGCTTTTGGCTTTCCTGAATAATGCTTCTGTATATTTCTTGGTAGATCCTCTGCATGGATGCATTATAGTGGTTAACCGAAATTTTGGAAAAATTAATGTGTATTGAGATGCGTATCTGCTTTTGTTAATCAGGCCAGACCATACTTTGCAAGATTTGAGGGCCAAAATATTCCCTCTTAAGAGAAGAAAAGCGAAGACACCTGAAGTTCTGCCCCCGGTTACGATGCCAACTAGAAGAAAGGAGAGATCACTATCTTCATTGGTGGTTAATGCCCCCAAAGTTTCGACACAAACTACCGTGACTGCGAGGAGAACAAAAGCTGTTGCCAAAAAGTCTGGTGCTTTACGAGGTTCTGGTTTTTCTGTAGATAAGTCTGTTAAAAGAGAGAGAGACTCTGTGGAGGATCACCAGGAGAGTGCAAGCTCACCTCAAACTCTAAATAAATTCACCCAGAATAAAAGACAGGTACATTAAATCTTACGTGTTGTTTTAAGTATCTTGCAGTGTCTGATGTTGTTTAATACTTCTCTTTTTTTTTTCTTCTCAAACATCCATTTTCTTGAAAAAAATAGTGTTTTAGATAAGACTTATAATATCTGTTGTTGTAAAATTGAGCGATACAGTGTACTTCTGCCGAACCTAGCCAACACACGGATAAAGAAGTAGAGAATGGTGGCAAATCATGGGAAGGAAAATCGGATCTCTGGGAACCTTTGGACTGTTTGGCGGAGGTTGCAAATAGGACCAAGCCCTTCAAGTCTAATTTGCAAGGCTCTGATTCTAAATTAGAACCTAGCCGTGTCCGAAACCCCGAAGATCAAACGTGCAAAAACAAACTTAGGAAAGACAACTGCAAAACAAAAGTCGAGGATGAAAAGAATAATGTCGGTCCTTCAAATTCAGGAACCATGAATCCTAAAAAGTTACGCAGGATCCGTCAAAAAAATGGTTCAGGATTTGGGGGTTCTTTCATATCTCCTCAAGCCGTGCTAGATGCTGCTGGTGCAAAGCATCAAAAGCGAATCGGACCTGTGTGGTTCTCATTAGTGGCCTCCGAAGACCAGTAAGAACTTATTTCAGCCTTCAAAACTAAAATGGATAATGCAGTTCTTTTAAGATTATTGTCTTGCTAATTAACTGATTCAAATGTCGATGTTTTTAGGGAAGGAGATGCACCCCTCCCTCAAATTCCTGCAAATTTCCTAAGGATAAAGTAAGTTCCTTTTGCTCGAGTCTTAGAATTTCTCATTACATATATATATATATATATATATATATTTATTCTAACCGGTTGGCTGTCCTTTTTGTCTGTGCCGTAATCTCCTGGTATATGACTTGGCATACAGAAAAAAGAACAGACATATTGGATGTTACCAATTTAGGGACCTATTAATCAAATTCAATGAATAATATCTTTTCTGTCTCATGCATATCTCTGACACCCAGAGTTTCTCTTACGAAAACCAAGGTTGTGGAAGCTTCGGAAATTTCTAATGATACTTGGACAACTAATCTGGTTAAAAGATTTTGTTCAAGTGTTGCTAAAAAATCCTAAAACTTGAACTCATCCGACTCTTCCATTATTCTTTATGCTGTGACAGGGATGGAAATATACCTGTTTCCGTTATTCAAAAATACCTGATGAAGAAATTGCACCTTGCCGATGAATCCGAGGTGAGTTCATCTCTCCTTGAATGCCATCCAACTATTCACACAGAAGAATATCTGCTTAGAAGACATAATTCCTATCGATTCCGATACATTTTGTATATTCTGCTTAGTTACTAGGTAGGTAAAATTTAGGGAAAGCGTATTGCACTAAAGAAGCACAATAGTTTCCGCCATTGTTATAGTTCCTTTGGCAACCATCGTTGATGATAAGCAAGGTATATATTTGTCTTCATTTACAATTTTTTCAGGTTGAGATCAAATTTATGGGGCAACCGGTGGTTCCTACGTTGCAGTTGTATAATTTAGTCCATTGGTGGCTACAAAGAGCATCGACATCACAGAGAGTTGCGGCGTCTGTCGGTTCTTCTGCTAAGGATTTTATCATGGTGTTGGCATATGCTCGAAAAGCTCCACAGCAATAGTAATGCTTTCTTTCGTTCTTTCCCCACCACATCGACAACATACATATATATACATGCATACATACATATATATCGTTATTAGAATGTTGTTGGTGATAAGAGTAGGACATTCGAATACGGTATTGTATTCGGTAGAAGCATGTACTATATATAGTTTTTATTTCATCTTCTTATCTGCAAAAGAGCAGTGTGTATGCGGCTAAGTAATGGGATTTAGCTATCCTAGTTGGAAATCATGTCATTCAACTGGTAGGATCTTGGATGAATTGAAGCATGTTTTTTTTTGTTATAAATTACATATATACAATTAAAAGGTTTAATTAATTTTAGTCCCTCTACTATGTTGAAATTTGATCTTTCTATTTTTAATTTGATCCTTTATTTGTATAACAAATTTAAAGTTATGTCACTTTAACATATCACTTTAACATATTTTAATATAATATAGAGATTGAAATAATAATTAAATCTAATTAAAATGAGAAAACAAGAGTAATGGGTTTAATTATGAATTTCATCCTTTCACTTTATGAAAAATTAGTTCATTTATTTTATTTTGTCAAAAGAATCAGCGGTCGATAGTCAATTTAAGGATGATATTAGTCAGTATCAAATGCCAACCGTATTTTGACTTTATAAAGAAAAGTGTACGAAGATGTTTAATCATTAAGGCTGCTCAACAACTTTAAACCACAACATTTCAACGGCCGATAAAATAAAATGATTTGTATATATGAAGATGGTCCACAATAAAAAAGATGATCGTTGGTAAGGACAAGCAACAAAGATGGATTTCTTGAGCTTGTTGCTGTGCTTTGTTCTGTTCTTGGTCTTGTGTCAAGCCTTCCGAAGGCAATCGGGAAGAACAAGCAAGCTTCAGCCTGGTCCGCCAACGATTCCGATCTTCGGGAACTTCTTCAACCTTGGTCATAAGCCCCATAAGTCCCTTGCCGAACTTGCCAATATTCATGGGGACATCATGACTTTGAAACTTGGCCAAACAACAACTATAGTACTTTCATCTGCAACAATGGTCAAAGAAATCCTCCGAACGCATGATGTTGTATTGTGTAACCGAACCGTTCCCAATGCCCTGCATGCCCTTCGACACCACGAAGTCAGATTGCCTTGGATGCCTGTTTCAACCAAATGGATAAATCTTACGAAAATCTGCAATTTGCACATTTTCGCTGGTCAAAAACTTGATGCTAACCAGTACTTGCGGCACAAGAAAGTAGAACAACTCCTTGCTGATGTTCATGATAGTTCCGACATCGGAGAAGCGATCGACATAGACACAGCTGTTTTAAAAACTGCTGTTAATCTTATGTCCAATACTGTTTTCTCCATTGATTTAGCTGACTCTTCCGATACAGCTCTCGTTTTCGGGAAAATTATACAGGGAATCAAGGAAGAGTTGGGAAAACCAAACTTTGCTGATTATTTCCCTACTCTTCTTGGTAATCTTGACTTGCAAGGCATAAGGCGTCGGATGGCAATTCATTTTCAGAAGTTGATGAATCTTTTCGATAAACTGATCGATATGTGGTTAGAGTTGAGAAAGATGAATGATTATATATCGAGTAACGATCTCTTGGATACTCTTCTCCGAATCAGTCAAGATGACAACCAAGAGCTTGATAGAAAGCACATCAAACATTTCATTTTTGTAGCAACTTCGTCACTTTTCAGTGTCTTATTTATTGCCTACTATTGAAGTTTCAAGTTCATAACTTGGTTTTGATGCAGGATTTGTTCACAGCGGGAACCGAGACGACAACCAGTACTTCGGAATGGGCGATGGCGGAATTACTCCGTAACCGAAAAACTTTACTTGAAGCTCGAAGAGAACTGCAACAAACAATTGGCCAAAAGAAGATGGTGGATGAATCCAACATTACATGTTTACCTTATTTGCAAGCAATTGTCAAGGAGACGTTGAGATTGCATCCTCCAGTTCCTTTGTTAGTACCTTGAAAAGCCGAAGCGGATATCGAGATTCGTAACTTTGTGGTTCCAAAAGGTGCTCAAGTGTTGATCAATGCATGGGGTATAGGCAGAGATCCCGATTGCTGGGAGGAGCCTGAGTTGTTTGTTCCATAGCGGTTCATAGGATCAGAAATGGATGTTAAAGGAAGGGACTTTGCACTCATTCCATTCGGGGGCGGGCGACGGATTTGCCCCGGATTGCCGTTGGCGATAAGGATGTTGCACTTACTGTTGGGTAGCCTAATTCACTCATTTGATTGGGAGCTTGAAGATGGAGTTACACCTGAAAACTTGAACATGGATGATGCCTATGGCCTTTTTTAACAGAAAGCTCAACTGTTAAGAGCTATCCCTCGCTCAATTTGATAGTGCTTTGTTTATCTGCTTCTTGTTACTATTCTCAAAACAATTGTGAATCAATTTGTTCCAATAATTAGGTTTGGATCACATATTTTCTTTGAGTGTTGAGACCTAGTAACTTAATTTTTTTCCAAAATCATATCTAATTTTAAGTTTATTTATGTTTTGGTCACACACAGTTAAATTTGACTATTGACTTAACATAAGTGGTGATGTGGCATGGTATAATAATTGTTATAGTCCTCAAAACTTATATATTCTATCAAATTGGTTCTTTTCTAATTTGAAATACTTTAATAATTTATTAATGCTAGGATGTGTTCCAATTTTTAAAACTATCAAAGCTTGAGGACTTATTGTGTGAATGTCCCTTTTTCATTTTATTTCAAACTTGCCAATCAGCCTCGCCATCAGACCCGTTTCCAAGATTCTAGTAGTTTGGGATGAACATAAAAATTAGACCTTTAATAACAAGTATCAAAAAAATTAAATCATAAGAACAATCAAAACTACATAAAGTTGCTTGTAAATTATTTTTTTATTACGTTTAATAAACTATCTAATAAATACATAAAGTTTCAAATAGAAAAACATTAAGAAATTTTATTAAACACCCATCTACTCACACAAAACAAGCATGATGATCTTTTAAAAGGGTATGTGTTAGATTTTAACCTCCTCAATCTTGTCAAAAAATAATAATAAAAGAATAATTAAGAGGAGAATGAAAAAATAAGTTAAAATGTCACATCAGTATCGTCTAATTTTTTAATGGTGGGTAAAAAAAATGTAATATTAAGTATGATTTTGAAATTGAATGAACAGAACAGAAATACAATAATAAGTGAGTGACTAAATAGATAATTTATCATTTTTTTAATTATATGTGAATTTATAATTTTGAGGCCTAGCAAGAGGGCCCTTGCTGAGGCTTAGGGACGAGCCTGCTCGCCACGACTCCACGTCTTTCATTTCACCGCCCTAGCAAATCGCGATCTTAGTATAAACCCTCTCCTTTGTTGTTCACAAAAACCTCTCGTTGTTTTGGGGACTTCTCCTTCCCTAACCAGAAATTGATGATAACTTTCACTAGATCGATTCCGCCTTACTACCACTTTAGACTGCACCTTGAACGGATTCGAACCAAGTCTTTGTCCTCTTTCACGACGTCAAGTTCCTTATATCCTTCTTCCCTACTTCCGATTGACTTGAACTCGACAATCCCTCACAACATGTGCCTCTACTAAGCGTATGTACACCCCCTCTGATCGAACCCAAACACCCGGCACCGTGTAACCACCCATCATAATCCTAAAAGCCCAAACTAAAACTCTAAACTCTCACCCCTTAAAACCACTTGAAACCCCAAACTATTATTAAAGATTGAAATTGAAATTCCAAAAATTAAGGGTAACAAGATAGAATATGCAAGTATTTTAAGATTAACATGGTTATTAATCATATCACGTCATCAATTTCGTAAAGTCAAACGGTTAAACTTAACGACAAGTGATCAAAATAGAAATGTAACTTAATATTATATATTATTATTTTTTAAACAAAATAAAAATATAAAAATAAGTGGATGACTAAATAATTAGTTTACTACAATTTAAAATGAAGAGGGTTAATCTATTATTTTTCATAAAATAGAAGGATGAGATTCACAATTAGACCTTTATATAGCAGCTTTTAAAAAATTAGGATAAGCTACACGTTTAGTACCTAAAGTTATCAGTTTCATTTCATTTTAGTACATAAACTTTCATTTATTTCAAAATCATACATGACATTTATTTTTTGTTTCATTTTAATACTCTATCGTTAGAAATTTAATGGAAATGCTACGCGTGACATTTTTATGGATAAATTATATCATTAATAACTTAACTATCTTTTCACTCCTACTTTGGTCAATAAAGTTTAAAATTTTTCAATTTAACTACTCAACTTTCAAATTGCTCATGTTTTAATCACTCTAATTTATTTTAATAATAATTTTTGTGACATGATATTTTTTTATTTTTTGATTAATATATAATTAAAATAAAAAATTAAATTTTAAAGTTAGAGTGATTAAATTAGGAGTAATTTGAAATTTAAGTAATTAAATTGAAAAATTAAACTTTAGTGATCAAAATAAGAGTAAGAAGATATTTGAGTGCTTAATAATGTAATTTACCCATAAAAAGTACTATGATGTAACAATTCGGCTAAGATTTTAACAATTGATATACTAAAACTAAATAAAAATTAATATTAGATATAATTTTAAAATAAATAAAAATTTAAATACTAAAATAAAATAAAACTAATAATTTAGATACGTTTAACGGAAAAACTATTTTGGATTGAAAATGCTAAAAAATATCGAAGTGATAATAAAAGAAGCCCAACACGAAGACGTAAATAATGGTTAAGTCAACGACAGTGGGACCCACTGGCGTCACACGAGTCTGTGAGGGGCGGCCCAAGTTAGCGTACCGCGATGGCATGCAAACGCAGCACCACAACGTGTGAACACTTTAAGGGGATGTTTAGATCAAAGAAAATGTAATTTCCATCATAATAGAATACACATTCTCATTTTTGGTTGGTCGATAATTTTATTTTCGGTAATGTTTTATTATTAATAGTAGATTTTTTGGGGTATATTACTGAGAATATCATTACATCACTTTCCTTATGTATTATTGGATTACCGACGTTTTAGACTATAATACCCTTAAATTATTATTTTTTCTTTCAAAAATATATTTCCTCTGTCATTGAATAATAAAAATTCTACGAAGGTTAAATTACAAATTTATCCTTAAACTATTTTAGATGTATAAAAAAATCTATATTTAAAATTTTATATGAAATTTAAATAAAATTTTACCCCTACATTAAACCTTTTTATATTTTCAATTTTGTAAAAATATATATAAATTTTATGAATTTAATTTTTTTAAAGAAAATATATAAATATTTTTTAACTTATAAAAAAAACAAATATATAATAAGGACAATTTGGTCAAATATACATTTCAATAATCTTTTATTCCTTTAACCAAACACGATAATTTTACATTTATGCTAAACCAACCAAACACAACATACAACATTCTCAGTAATCATATTCCCTGGTAATCTTACATTCCCACTGATAATCTTACATTCTATGAACCAAACACACCCTAAGAGTACACGTGGCAATCGTTGTTTCGGTAAGTCCAACAACGGTTGTATTGGAAAATGCACTCAACTCCCAAGTCTCCGTCGGGACCAAACTTTTGAAAGCGGCCATTTTGATTAAAAAAGAGATAAAATCATTTTTAGTCCTTAAACTTGATATTTTTTTAATTTGCTCCTTAAACTTTTTTGTCTACATTAATTCCTGATTTTGAAAACTTTTTCTATTTTTGATTAAATTTTTTGATCAAATCCAACCAATCTCAATCTAATTTATATTAACAAAGAAATAGAAAAGAAAAGAAATGCCAAAAGCATCTGATTTTGCACAGTGTAAATTTAATAAGTAGCATTGAGAAGTACTCTTTTATGAGATTCTATATGTTCTAATAATTAAGCTATCAGAATAATGTATTTGAATTCAAAAAAGTTGATTTAAAAAAGGGTAAAATTTCGTCTAACGAACATTTTCTATCATTTTTTTGTTTGCTTTATAGTATTAATTATTTTAAAAACAATGGATGAACATGTTGAAGTAAAAGAAAATGAACAAGTAGAGCTGCAAAGTCGTAAAAGTCTTCCCAACTCTTGCAATATTTACAGTACAAGCCAAAGCAAAGCACATCTGATTGTTGTTGAAGAAGCAAAAACTTGAAGCAGAAGAAAGAATAATAATAATAAACCAAGGTCTATGCTCGGGACCTACTTTCAATATCCGTGACTATCACAGAGAGACGGCTGTTTCATTTCTTCAGCTCCTATTCTGCTGCTCAAAAACCTCCAATTTTTTATTTAGAATCTCTCAAATTTTCTTTTTTGGTTGAGTTTCTCTCTCTGGAATTTCTCTTTACTTTTTAAAATATAATATATTTATTGGTGGTAGTGGTAATATAATAGTGGATGGGGAGAAAAATGTGATCTTTGTATTCTTATGGCCGTTTATGAATTCTCCCCCACAGGCAAAACAAAGTCTTCTCTTTCACACCCTTTCAATCCCCAAGCAAAAAGAACATGGGAAGAAGAATCTAGGGTTTGACAACACCAAGTCCAACAAGGTCTGTTTTCTTTTTGGTACCTTTCCCCTTGTTTTTAATGGAAGAGCTGTTTCTGCTTTGATCTTTGTCTGCTCTCTCTCTTCTTTCTTTCCTGTTTGTTTTTTTTGTCCCTCTTAAATTTTAAGCTAAATTTGAAGTCCTTAAAGATCATTTGGATACCTGAAAATTGATTTTTTTTTATTGCTGGGTTTTTCTTTTTTTGTTTAAAAATCTGACCTTTAGTGTGAACTTTACTGTTTTAGTGGTATGTTTTGGTTTAGGTGATTTGGGTTTGAGGAATTAGGATTTTCCTTTTGTGTTTCCGGGGTTTGGTAATATGGAGGAGGTTGAAGAAGCTAACAAGGAAGCAGTAAAGAGCTGCCATAGAGTTTTGAGTATTTTGTCTCAGCCTAAAGATCAAATTCCCTATAGAAATTTAATGGCCGAAACTGATGAGGCTGTTTTTAGGTTCAAAAGAGTGGGTTCCCTTTTAAATTCTGGTTTAGGACATGCAAGGGTGAGGAAGATGAGCAAATTAGAAACTCCTTTCCCTCAAAGCATCCTTTTGGATAATCCACACCATAAGTCAACAGATAATTATCCATCAAAGGCTTTGCAGCTTGGTTACCATGAAAACCCGTCTTTGGAATTGGGTTCAAATGGTAAAAACCCTCTTCAACTCGCCCAACAGGCACCGTCCGGACACTACCGTTTCCTTCACCAACAACAGCAACAGCTGCAACAAAGGTTACAGCTCCAACAGCAGCAGCAAATGAAGCATCATCAAGCTGAAATGTTGTTTAGGAAGAGTAATAGTAGCGGCTTTAACTTGAAATTCGATAGCTCTAGCTGCACACCTACCATGTCATCGACCAGGTCTTTTGTTTCTTCGTTGAGTATAGATGGTAGTGTAGCTAACTTGGATGGTGGGAGTGCCTTCCATGCAATCGGGGTGCCTTGTTCATCCAATCAGGGTTCCCAACAGAAAAAGAAGTGTTCTGGTAGGGGAGAAGATGGGAGTGCCAAATGTGGAAATAGTAGCAGTAGATGCCACTGCTCCAAAAAGAGGTTATTTTCCCAACAATTGCTTTTGTTTCCTTTTATATGGAAGGGGTTTGATATAGTCTTTCTATTCCCCCCCTAACTGGTTGTGCTCCATCCTCAGGAAACATAGAGTAAAGAGATCGATCAAGGTGCCTGCAATCAGTAACAAGCTTGCCGATATTCCTCCCGATGATTACTCTTGGAGAAAATATGGGCAGAAGCCAATCAAGGGTTCTCCTCACCCTAGGTAATTGTCGTCGTCTTTTATATGCATCACACTGAGATTTGATATTCTTGTTGTGTGAATTCTGGTATTGCTGTAACCCAGTTTTGCTTGCGACATTACAAATTTAAGTGCATAAAGGAACTTTCACATTAACTAATCGATGTTAGTTTGTTCAGTGTCTGTATTTTTTTATTTATCACTTCAATCAGTCAGAAGTGTTAGGGGCTTGAAATGGAGAAATGCTCTTTCTTCCTCTCGTTTTTCGGAACATTTAGCACACTGTTGAGTACCTAGCCAGCCTCGATATTACAATGTTCTAGGATTTCGGTTCTATTTTCATGTTTACCTTCAGGCCAAGCCGAATGGAGATGCATTTTTAAATCTTCATGTATACTATTTAAGATGGTGATTAATGGTTAATTTATTTGCACGACGTGGAATGTACTGAAATGTATTGACACAGGAAGCATTTTCTTTGCTGGTGCAGGGGATACTATAAATGTAGCAGTACAAGAGGTTGCCCTGCAAGGAAGCATGTAGAAAGGTGCTTGGAAGAGCCATCTATGCTTATAGTTACCTATGAAGGCGAACATAGTCATCAACGGTTACCATTGTAATCAACAAAATCTTAGTCTCGCCGAAAACTCTTCTAACCTCTATTGAAGACTTGCTCCTGTACATATTTTGCATGTTTTGGGCACGGGATAGAGCAGTTTCATTTTCTTTTCTTTTTTTCTTTTGGGGGGTGGCATTCCGAACCTTAACAATTGTGGTTTAAATTGTAAGGCTATGGTGGAGCAGAAGGAATGGTAGAATTGGGGTCTAATTGAAAAAATTCCAAGATCGGTGATCAGATTAGAATCTATACTCAGCTCAACATATATCATTTTGCAACTGAAAAGATTTTCCCCAAGTTTCTAATAACAATAATAACAAATGCAACGTCAAAGATGCAATTAGGATTTACAGTAGATTTAAGACTGAAATAGGAACTCAACTCTATCAGTCATCAAAAGGAGGGGAATCCAAATACTGATCTCATCACTAGATGAAGATAAAATATTTCTAATTCAAGAAGCAAAAGCGTTCATTGGTTACTACTAGTTCACTACAGCAGATATGGCTAAAGAAACGGATAGCTTTTAACTAAGTTCTGTTCTAACTTTTGAGTACTCATTGTAGGACAAGCAGGCAGCACTAGATACGGTGACCAAAACTCAATAACAAACAATAAGGTACATGCAGAATCTTCACTTGAGAGGAATAAACCTGGATGAATGGGTGGCACCGATACCAGGCCTTCCGTGCTTGACGGGCTTGTACGAAATTGAGAATTCAGCCAAGTAATGGCTAATCATTTCGGGCTTGATTTCCACTTGATTGAAAGTCTTTCCATTGTAAACACCAATTATACTACCAATCATTTCGGGAACTATAATCATGTTGCGGAGATGTGTTCTAACAGGCTCGGGTTTCTCACCAGGTGGAGCCTCTCGTTTCTATTTCAAAACAGCAGAAAAACATTCTCATTACAGTTGCAATCTACCTTAATTTTGGTCATTATCAGCAAAGAATAAAATAGTTCAAGGAAACAATTGTCAATCAAGGGGAAAAAGCTAATAGTTCATTTAATTTCTCAATAGTATAAAAGATGGGGAATAGAACACTTACGGCCTTGCGCAATTTCTTTATCAGAGCCATTGGCTTCCTCTTCAAACCTCTCTGAAACCTACCAAAAAAATAAAGCTATCTTATTTTACGAATTACAAGGCATAAAAACAAGCATAGATACAAAGGAAACAGATCAACTAATGATAATAGCGCGTGGTAACCTTCGGCGAGCACGAGCGGGAAAGAGTTTGACGAGCTCATCAGTGGACATGTCCAAGAGAGCGTCGAGATCAACACCTCTGAAACTGAACTTCTTGAATGTTCTCTTCTTCGGCACCCCTGATGCAGCGACATGGGCTTCCACATCAGCCTAGACAAAAAAAAAACGAAAAAACACAGAAAATAAGGTGACATTGTTAAGACTGTTTGGATACCGAGAAAATTGGAGAAAACATTCTGCATGTGAAGCAAAATTGAAAGTAATCAAAGATAAGTGGAGTGAATAACGGTGTCGAGACCATGGTCAGAGACGAAGCAATAAACAGCACCGAAGTACTTAATCCGCGGATGGTGAGAGTCTGCTGTTTCTAGGGTTTTGAGGATTGCAGTCTGAGTGAGAATGGGTTGTATATACGACGACAAATCCGGATGGGATCCGAATTGATTTGGTTCTACAAAAGTGAAACCACCTGCCTTTTCTCTTTGGATAAATTATCCGTTTAGTCACCCAATTATCAACATATTTCTATTTTTCACTTTCTACAAAATATTTCAATTTAATCACCATTATTTTTTAATTTAATTTTTTTATTACATCATTAAGTATAAAACACAATGATTGACATGATTTTTATATTACTAACATGGATGTCAAAAAATTATTATTGTCATACCTTTATGGTATATCAAGATTTTTTGAAAGATTTAAAGGAACATCTCACAATACATTTTCTACGTCTCATAATTTTAAGAGATGATTATTTACGGTCATAGAACTTTTAATGTATTACATCTCATAAAGCAATGACCCTTTGACATAATTTTTGACAAATTTATGTGACTTACCAAAATTAAATATATTGTTAATAGATCATACGTAACGATATGAATTTATAAGTTAATGTCTGGCACCTTTTATTGATGAATGTGTTCTTTAGGATTCAAGTTTCGTTGGGCCATTTGGGCTCTATTTGATGAGTTCGGAGCCAATGGTAAGAAAAATTGTGGGAGTTAGATGAAATATGGATGACCAAAAAGGACAATTTACTTATTTTTGGGTAAAGATCTCAAATCTCATTAATTAGGAGGTAAGGTCGACTGATTTTGGAAGCATGAGCTAATGGTTCTTTTGTCCATGTTTTCCTTTAGTTTAATTGTTCTTACTTTTCCGTCTTTTCCATCACCCTTCCTATGCTCTTCCTTTGTTTCATTTTTTTTTCTCTTTCTTGAAAATCATCAGAGAGGAAAATGTTAAAATTATAACACCTTGAAACAGCTACAGGTGATCTGATTTGAACCGATCGAAGGTGTCATATTAGAGCCACCAGAGCAATTCATGCTGAAAAATCCGAGAAATTTAAAATTTTTGGTAAACCATTTAAGATCGTAAACAATTTATAAATAAAAATACAAGTTCAGAAAATTATATATATATATATATATTAAAAACATAATTCAATCATATCTAGTATTTAAAACAATTTTAGACTCGAATATAAAAACAGAATACAACCTACATCCCCCCTAATTACATGAGTCATACTCCGCAAGCAACACCGATGGAACTCCTTTATTGATATCGATAAAAGCATATGATTAAACTATTTAATTTGAAATGACAAGTAACAGAGTGAGCTTTGGGAAGCTCAGTAATACAAAACTACCAGAAGTATGCAATAGATTATCAGGTACATGGTAAAGCATAAATATCCTTAGTGATACAGGCATCATCAGGCTCTATCAGTGAGTTTAGATTTCATTGATTAATTTTTCATGTTACAGTCGGAATACTTATAGTCCGAATGAAATATTCCGAGAGACAAATTCAGAAGATTGAGTTGAAGAGTTTAGTGTGTTTAAAAAAACCCAGAAAAAAGTATACAGATCTTTTAAAAGACATTGGTAGTTTAAAAACATGTTTTAAAGCATCTGTAATACCCTCAAACCGAACACTGATATGCAATTCATCAGATCTGCATCCATAAGGACTTACCCTAGACCCAATAAGCGTATGAGTCAACCTAAGGGGGAATCTTGGGGCTTGAGAGCCTACCCAAGTGAGTTTCTTAGGGCCTCAAAACCTACCCAAGGGTCACCTTAGATCCGTAAGGATTTAACAGCTTGATTAGAGATGAACCTCCATACTCCAAAATCCTACCCAGATTGTATCCCAAGAAAATTGTTCATATAGTAAACCGTAAATTCCATGATCCATAAATTAAACATAATTATATTTTCTAGTGAAACAATTACCCAAAAATCATATATCAACTAGCCATAGTTCATAAATGTTAAATCAATAAACCAATAAATCAGAATATTGAACAGTTAAAATATTCGTAAACCAACCAAATAACAAATCATATTTTAGAATAGATGAAACAATCATATAACATACATGGAACACACTAGATGATCAAGTTATATTCCGGAGGTATTTGGTAATTATCAGGCGGGAAAAACATGAAACTTTGGCAAACTGATCGAACTTTAAAAACATGATCTGTAACACCCCAACCCGTATCCGACCCGGATACGAGTCCGAAGTGTCACATTGACTTTTCAAACATTTATTCGTATAAAATAGTGAGTAATTTAAAAACTTTGATAACATTTAACTTATTCAAAACGTTTACAAAATATATCAGAGTTCATACAATTTATATCTTTAGACTACATGCCAACTACACTCTATAAACAGTACATATATTTTATGATCTGACATTTGGTAAGGAGAACTGACCTGTCTTGCTCCGCATTACTCTTTACTCTTCTCGAAACCTACGTGTGAAACAATCACACGCTAAGTCGAAGACTTAGTGAGGCATAAAGAAAACACATCTAATGGAATTCATACTCACTAATCATGCATGACTGTTTTATGCTATCAAATTATACAACTCATTTACATATACATCAACATATATTCGTGCATATTATGTAACAGATACCATTACCCCTATCACAGATATATCATATCATGCACACATCATATCACAAATCATATACATATATCACATACATTGTTCTCATATCACCAATATCCATACCTGTAAGCATATTACTTTAACATTCATGAATTTGTATTAATGAGTTTATTGGCCCATGATATCATATTGAGAACCTAAGGTATCTGAGTATTGTGAGGTTGTGCACTATGCTGTCACCACAGCTCGTATAAATGCACCGAAGTGTCGCGTAGAATTACACCGTAGTGCCATATAATGATGTCCATAAGGACCACATAGAATTCCTTAAGAATCATATACATATGATAGGGATCATATATGTGTCTCACCAGACTTCACACATGTTCCAAAGAATATATATATATCCCGAAGGACCGCGTAGAATATTGTCCCGAAGGACCGCGTAAACTCTCTACTCTTGGCATGCCAACTATACCCCTAGCTCTCAAGACACATAACATGGGCATTTTCTTTTATACTTATCATTTCACATAACACATAGTTCAATTACTCATAGAACATTTTCATATGAGTCACATTTACATGTCACATAGCTTATATACTTTCTCACGTAGTTACATAGATCCATATCATATAACATATATCACAAAGTGCACATAATCACACATCATATCATATAGCTTAGATCATTTCTCAGATATTCATATAAACATACATATCATATCTTGTTCACATATGATCATATATGCTTCATATAACACATAGAACACTTTCTCCTAGCTTATATCAATTTTCAGAGTCCTTTCATATTACCTTATGACATATATCATATAGATATATAATAACGGATATCATATTATCTACCTTATGCTCTATTTCTTTGTATTCCCTTAGATTATAAATTATGCCGTATTTCTAAACATATATCATTTAATAGTATTTTTATTTAGGTACTAATTTAATCTCTTTACTTAATTCAATTTCATATATTCATTATAATCTTTTCATATAGCTCCATTATACTAATTCTCATAATAAATCATACCACTAGGTACTTGTCCAACTCATGTTTCCATTATGCATATACTGTTACCCATGTTTACCTAGTTCATATCACTTCTTATAAACTCACTTTCATCATATTTTCCTATTATTACATATTTTATCTCATAACCATGTATCCACATAGTCTTATATTTCATTATCATATTACATATATTTGTTCTCCTATGACCCTTAATAAATATATATTTCTATTTCCCTACATCTCTCGACTTATCTTCTATATTCCTATAATTTCATAACTTATTTTATATCATTTTCCCTTTTTATTCACATAAACCATCTATTTATTTAGTTCAATTTCTCATGACTTACACAATACTCTTTAATAAAACTTTGTAGCTCTTCACTATAATACATAAACCATAGTTTCCTTTAATTTATCAATCTTCCCTATATTACTTATGTATCCTTATTTATGCCTTCGAATTCATACTATTCTCTTAGAGTCTCCTAACATTTCTCGTATAATCACTTATACCATATCATATAACTTATACTTGATTATCTTATTCTCTCATGTTCATTTCATTTCTTATGACTCTATCATATAACTTATCTCATGTTCTTCCATTATTACATATTAAAGTCTTACATACATCATATAGCATATACAAAGCATATCATTATCTTTAGTCATGCATACATACAATCAATGTAATACAGATAATCACATATAATTATAACCACACATAATCATGTCCATGACTTCATGCATATTACTCTAGGAAATAGACTCATCGCAAGTCTTATTTCCATTAAACACTACATATTACTAGTATGCACTCACCTGGCCTCACTAGTCAATTTCAATCTCTTATCTTTCCCTTGATCGATCTTACTTGCCAAATGTTCCGGAATTGCTTTACGCGCAGAATCTACATAAATGTACATTTTGAGGCAATCATTAGATACCTACACCTTGTAATTAGATACTAGCAACTTAAACGAACTTATTAAACCCATATTCACAATTTCCTTTAGGGGGGTATCGATTCCCTACTGGGGGTATCGATACCCTCATGACATTTTGGAATTCTATCGTTTGAGAGGGTATCAGTACCCCTTTGAATGGGTATCGATTCCCCCTAACCCAGAAATCATTTTTCAGCCCGAAAATTACTTCATTTTCTCTCAAACACTTCATATATCATCCCCTTTTCATTCTTAACTCTAGTACACATACTTAAACCAATCTATATTCATTTATTTCATCTTAAACCTCAAAATCCTATCTTCCATATGAGATTCAAAAATCATACCAAATTTTCAATGTGTTCTAATTCCAATTCTAACACTTCATACTTCTTAATTAGATTGATGACAAGTCAAATTCATCCATAAAACTTCAACAACCATACCATATCAAAATTTCATCTTAAAATTCATATTACAAATTCCTTCTTAATTCCTTTATCTTATTGTTTAAATCCCATATAAGCTTTCCTTAAGCTTATTTAATACCCAAAGAATCAAAACTAAGCTTAAAACTCAAGAATTAACCAACTGAAATTAAACTTACCTATTGTAGCTAAGCCCCACGTGAAGAAGAGAAAGCAAGAAGAAGAAGAAAGCTTCCAGATAGCTCTCTTCCCACGTTTTTCACTCTTATAAAAGGGGGAAGAATATCTTTTAAAGGAAAAGACCATAATACCCTTAAATTCCTTTAATAATTACTAAATAACCTTCATAATATATTCAAATAATCATTGAATTATTTCATTCTTCTACTTTAGTCATCAAATTCTGAAACTTTACAATTTGATCACTAACCCGGTATTGAGGATGTTACATGATCCATTTTTAAAGAGTTCTATAGCTAACAGATTAATCAGTCGTTAGGAAAGTAATACATCAGGATCATATAATATTCGGATATATCCAAGGGATATTTTGGAACTGTTACATCATAATTACTTAAGATTCAGAAATTCTTGCGGTGATTCCATTAATTAGACTCACAAGGGCATTTTAGTTATTTGATTCTTGAGAAATTTTGGTAATTTAGCTTAATAAAGGTAAGCATTGATTTACTGTAATACCCCAAACATCGGGTTAGTGAATAAAATATAAGAATTTAAAATTTGGTAGTTTGAATAAATTGGAAAGTTCAAGGATTTAATTGGAAAAATTTTGTGTCTAGGATTTATTATCAAATATGGAATAATGGAAGGGTAAAGAGGTTTTTTAGCATGAATGAATTAAAAATTCATTTTTAAAAGGGTATATAACATATGATAAAAAGTAGGAAGGAAAAAAAAGAAAAATCTGGAAGCTATTCTCTTCTTCTTCTCTCCATAAACTCCATTGTCAAGATTTGATTTAAAGCAAATATGGATCGAAGTGACGTACCAAGATAAAGTGAAAGAGAAAATGAGTTGAGGCTTGAGCGAGGCTAAAGTGAGTGTTATTTACTTATTTTATTTATGATTGGAGGACAGCTTACGATGAGTCAACCTCAAATGTTTCTGAACAAAATGAAGTGTTATGAGTATATATATAAAGATTTTTCTATGTGAATATGTTTTATTTAAATAAATGATAAGTTGAGTAATGATATATGTAAAATGAAATAATTATGTGAATCACTATAAACGTATGTGATATGTGAATAAATAAGAATATTTGATAATGCTATGCTTATATGAGCTATGCAACTACATGATAAGTTAATAAAGGCTAGTTTAAATACAATGAGTATATGATATATGGATTCAAATCTAAGACTATGTGAAATACTATGTAAATGTTTTCTATGTGAAAAGATTATGCAAATATGTGTGAAGTGAATATATTCTATGGAATATAAATGATAAGTGAGAAATGTTAAAAGGAATGTTATGAGTAATTACTTTATGTGCATAAAAGATACTTGAATAATAAATATGAAAGTGTTCCATGTGGATAAAAGATACTGGAATAAAGTATTGAAGTTTAATTATAAAACGAAAGCCCGAAGTATATTCTATGAGGATTAGAGGTATAATTGGCATGCCAAGAGTCAAGGGTTCTATGTGGTCCTTCCGAACAAACCTATGTGGTCATTCGGGACAAATTTACGTGGTCTTTCGGGATAAACCTATGTGGTCTTTCGGGACAAACCTATGTGGTCATTCGGGACAAATCTATGTGGTTATTCGGGACAAATATGTGGCACTTCAGTGCAAATTATCTGAGTAGTGGTGACTGTATTAGTGCACAACCTCAATGTACTCGCATACCTTGAGTTCTCAGCGATATATGTTGGGCTAATAAAATATACTTGATATAAATTGAACAATGAGTAATAATACAAAATGTGAATGAAGTGTTTATTGGGTTTCACTACAGCAAAATAGGTTTTTAGCGGCGTTTTTTAACCCTATAGTGGTGTTTATAAGTGCCGCTAAAAACTTTCCCGGCTCTTGCAAAAACGCTGCAAGAAGTGCCGCTATAACGAGCGCCGTAATTGCTAGCGGCGTTTTTGAAAAAAAAATACCAAAAATGCCGCAATAGGTCGAGACATATAGCGGCGTTTGTCTTTACAAACGCCACTATTGACTGTGTATTTAGCGGCGTTTGTCTTTTACAAACGCCGTTATTAATTGTGTATTTAGTGGCGTTTGACTTTATAAATGCTGCTATTGACTGTGTATTTAGCAGCGTTTGTCTTTATAAACGCCGTTATTGATTGTGTATTTAGCGGCGTTTGTAATTGACTGTGTATTTAGTGGCATTTGTAATTAAAAATGACGCAAATAAACCCATTATTAGTGGCATTTTCATTTAAAAACGCTGCAAATGACACTATTAGGAGTAGCTGCATGAGTTGCATAAAACACCATTAAAGACATTCTTTACACCCACAGTAATAATCAATTCTATAAATCAAAGCATATATTGCAGATATTAAATAAAAACAAGTCACTTGAAATTAAAAGGGCAAAAATACATACAAATATATACTTATGTGTTACATATACTAGAAACAAAAAAGTAAACTAGTTGCATGTGTATTTTCACACTTCCCGATAACTCTAATATCCAATGGCAATCTTTCCCAACTTCTCGCTATGTACACCCAAAAATCAAATTGCACTTTTCAAGCACATCAGGAACTTCTTTACCATCCCAAGAATCAATTTTGTAAGATCTATTTTTCAAGTGCAGAATCCCAATAGCCAATACAGTAGGAATGTGGTTTTTCAAAGGGGAATTAACTTCACAAAGAGTGTTGTAGAATTCAAGCTGCATGGAAGGAAACAAAAAACTTAACAGTGTGTAAAAGATCCATGGACACTAAGAGTATAAATTTGCACATACACCTACCTACCTTAGTGCCTAAATCGTGTATAAATTTGCAAATGAAATATAATATACTCAGCAAGCAAAGGATTAAACACCAATCTAACAGATTTCTACTCCACATCTGTTACGCCACATCTTCCAAGATTTAAGTATGCCAATGATTGCATGTCACATGAAATGATTATAATTCCAGGAAATTCGGTAATTGCTCAAACTCCATGGACTTGGTAACAACTCATTGTTTGTTATGATATGATGAAGTTTGATCTTCTATGCATGATAATGATAGAGAGTTTATCCTTATCCACCTATCTCACAACTCTAAGACATTACATCCACCTATTGGTTTCCCCCATGAAATACATGTCACTATATCTGAAGGCATATCCATGTTCAATGTATAACAACTACAAAATGTACGGTTATATTATCAGTAGAGGTAAGTAATGAGAACATACCTTAGATGGAATCCAAGCATGCAGCAGTAACGTTACGTCCCTCCAGATTCAACATATTAAGTTTGTTCAAACCTGCCATGGAAAGTAATGTTAGTACATAACATAATATGTTTAATTCTTTAGGTCATCTGGTCTTATTAAGATAATAGATTATTAGTACGGGAAAGAAGATTAAGATGCCATCACTAGGAGACCCTGAAGACTATGACCTAAAAGGTAAGATGTATTAATCATGTTACATTCAATGTATTATGAACTGAAACCAAGAACAATGAATATAAACAAAGAGAAGTCCTATCATTTTATATAGCACAATGGACGACAGTGTGTGTCCACCATGCAAAAGAAAAGGTAGATAAATACCTCTCAAATAAGACAGCCCAGAATTAATGATGTTACTATTTGATATCTACAGCTCCTTCAGATTATTAAGCCCTGAAATAAAAGAAAAACATAAAGCCATAACTAAAAAGAAAAAGAAAAAATCTAGAATCTAATGCTCTTCTGCAAGTTGGGGAGTTGCCAATCATACATACTAAATCTTACACGATTATAAACAGAATTACCAAATAATAATTGCGAACACAACGACACAACCAACTGCATACAATGATGAGCATTCAGGTCAGCATGACCCACAGTTGTGAAAAGAAAATTGTACCACTAGTTAGCTTGAAGAAGTATCCAAAATTACCCGAAATAGCCTCCAAGTCCAAATCAATAATAAATTTACAACATCTGATATTAAGAGACTAGAGTTTGGATAAAACTGAAAAAAGGATAAAAATGACAGCTTCAGAGAAAATAATCTGGAAAAGATGTTGCAATAACTGGCTGATATGGGAACTCAAACTAAAACTTCTGTAATTCATATAACTAGTTAACTCTCCATCATATAATGGTCATATTTTAATGCAACATGAGATTGGATACTGGTTTAGTTTATCTGCCAGCCCATCCCTCATTCTTCCCAGTATATAATATATAAACATCATATGGGTGTATTTCGATTTCCTCAGGTTGTTCTCCGTAATGTAAAAATATCAATTAAAATATACATGAAACTGTTCCTTTTGAAGGCGCAAGTTCTACAGTTCCATAGAACCCAAGCTTTCTAAGGTCTCATAAGGATTCATTCTCAACAAACCTTTAATATGTACAAATCCACCATGAATCCCTGTGCACCTCTCCAGGTCCAGCTTTTCCAAGTTAATTAAGTTGGAAAAAGCACACATCCCTTCAGCTATAATTGTCGCACTCTTTTTAAAGTTCAAGGATGTCAAATTCGTTAGACCTAAAAAGTCAAGGGACATAATGCATAAGACCGGCACATAAATAATGTCAACTAAGAAACCAATCCAAAGAAATAAATAATTGATATTCTAATCATAGAAAAGCACCACTACATAAAATTTGATTATGACATTCATAATATAGCTTATATAGAAATAACAGAAGTTCTTCTAATGTTAAGACACTTAAATGCCAAACCTAAATTTGAGAGACAAATTCGCATGCCTGATAATGATGCTGAGAGCACCGAGAGGAGTGACCAGTATGGCCAGTGCAAATGCATAAGCAGCAAAATTAGCAATTTCCCCGACGATGACTATTGCAAAGTTGATTAAAAATTATAATTAACTACATTTTCCTCTAAAATCATGAATCATAACCATCTCACTAGTATTTAAAAAGACTGCAGTCTGATAACTTCCTGAACATTCAGGTGTAAACATGCAAATAGGAAGAAAAAAATACATGAGATAGAGTTAATTATCAATGAGAAACCCATAAAACTTACTTGTTATAATGCCAGCCCACCAAAGTGGCTCAAGCAAGTACGAATACCCTCCAACTCCTGTGTAAGAACCAGAAAAACTAATGTCATTGTGATTCATCATGCATAAGAACAACAAAAACTCCTCATAAGGAACAAAAAAGTGAAGAATCATTAAATGATAACAAAGACATTCAAAATTTCATTAAATAATCGAGATAAAACATACATGCAATACCAAAGAAAATCTGAAGTTTGAAAAATCAAAAACATATCATTTTCATCAATTTCATTCAATAGAGACATATTGTATCTTTCTTTCACACATTATGCAAAACTTCAGCATACAGAAACTTGGACAGATTGAGGAATTTCGTAAACAATTCATAATCAATAAGTTTGAAGATACATACAATCAAAGATGACACTGAAACCCACCATCAAAAGGATGCAAATGAAAAGGCTGGTGCAATTTGATAGTCATAAATGATTAGTTTTATGAAGAAAAAGAAAAACATGAAGACTAGTTTACTAAATACAAGCTTACATACTAGATTGAAAAGAGTTCAAATCGATTAATTCCCGCATTGATGAATTAAATTCAAAGGTTAAATAAATATTCATCACTTGCACTTCACTCAAATTCGTTTTCTAAATTGCGTAAACAATTATTCACAGAATCTTACAACACTGGAACTTATTTAAACCTGATAGCAATTTCCAATTAAAGAAGAAAAAATGAAATCCGAAATCAAATCATCAAAAAAGAAGTAAACATTTGATAAATTGCAGTACCTGCTCTGACGCCAGAAGCACCAGCTTTTTTCAAGCCTTTTTTCTTAACGATGAAACTTGCCCCGATGAATAAACTGGAAGAAATAGCTAAAACCAAACCCTTAACATTATCCAAGGACATTCCCTCGCTCTATCTTCGCACAACCCACATACTGGAACCCTACACTTGAAAAAAAATCCTAATTTTGAAGAGGGGGGATAACTCTATACACACAACCGACATACATATGGTCATTCCAGTTTTTGGAAAGTAATCGGGAGTTCTCTCGAGTGATTAAAATCTAATAAAAAAAACACGAATCACGAAGAAACTTTAATATACATCAAATTAGAAGATCTATAAAGAGAGGAACGCGATTTGATAAATAGTTGAAACAAATCAAAATCAACAACGCATTCTGAAAAACGCTCTTGACCATTCTCCAAAACTCGGTGCAAAGTGGACCTAGGTACATCCAAAAACCAAGTAATTAGTCATGAAGGAGAAGAAACATGGTTACAAGAAACAAATCAAAGAACCGAAAACAAGTCTAAAATCGAGAGGGAGGAGAGAAGATGAAACATTTTTATTTTTTAGAAAGGGGGAACGGGAATGGAAAAATAGGTGAAGGGAAGAAATGAAAAAAGGTTAAAGAGGCTAGGGATTTAGAAACTTTAAGCGGCGTTTGTAAAAAACACCACTAAAGACGAGTCTATAGCGGCGTTTGTATAAAAACGCCACTAATGTACGAGTCTATAGCGGCGTTTATACAAAAACGTCACTAAAGTACGATCCTATAACGGCCTTTGTATAAAAACGCCACTAAAGTACGAGCCTATAGCGGCATTTGTATAAAAACGCCACTAAAGTACGAGTTTATAACGGCGTTTGTATAAAAACGTCGCTAAAGTTACCATTTTGTGGCGTTTGAAGTATAAACGTCGCTATATATTTAAAGTTAGTGGCGTTTACTCTTAAAACGCCGCTAAAAACACTGTTGTAGAAATTTTTGCTGTAGTGTTTATAAGAAATGTTTCAATGAATTGTATAAGCAATTGTCAAAAGTATATGTAAATTAATCAAAGAGTAATAATGTATTTTATAAGTTACGAGTAATATGTTGTTATAGTAAATCGTGATTCTTTTATAAATCTTTACTTAAATGTTTTATTATGTTATTATACTCAGTATTGCCTCACTAAGTCATAGACTTAGCGTGTGATTGTTTTCACACGTAGGTTCAATGTTATAAGAGGAGTAAGCCGAGTAAGCAAGAGGCAGGACATCATACCTCTGAAGATTTTCAGATCAGAGATGTTTGAAATGTATACGATTGTGTTATGAAATGTTGTTGGCATGTGCCATAAATGTAAAGTATAGATGCTCTGATATGTATTTTAACTATGATTTATTAAGTTTTTTTCCTTGTCATGTTTTAATCGCATTTTAAAAGAGTCGAAGTGTTTGAAAATTCAATGCGACGCCTCAGATTCGTATCCAGGTCGGGTACGAGTAGGGGGTGTTACATTTACAATATTTCAAATTTCAAATTTCAAGTATCTTATCAAGCTTCCAAGTCTAATCAAACTATATCGATCCCAACACATGCGATACTTAACAAGTATACAGGTAGAGTAACTTCACGAATATTTATTTCTTATTATTAACTGCACTATAGAGTTAAAATGATCACCTACATAACCATTATTGGAAAAATCTTGAGGAGACGAACGAGTATTCAAGCTGTATTTATTTTATTCTCATATTGTAATAGTAGCAAGCATGGCCGATATGTTTGGGACGTGTTTCAACCCTTAGGGGCGATATAACCTTTATTTATTATTTTTATCAGTATGTACAAAATTTATCTAATGTCATTCACTTATTCTAGACCATGAAGGTATTTAGGTCATTCCGATACTTTAGGTTAATTTAGTCAATTCAAGACTAAAGGGTAATTCATTCATTTTGAAACACAAGGGTATTTCGGTTATTTCAGGGTTTAGGGGTATTTTGGTCATTTTAGCATTCAGGGTATTTTGGTCATCTTACAGTCCAGGGGTATTTTTGTCATTTCATTCAATTCATTCTTTTCATTTAATTCAAACTTGTCATTTATTTCAGTCATTTCGAACAATTCTGACAATAAGAGTACTTCCGATAAGTTAGTCTTTGGGTGTTTGCTAAAAATTCAGAAATTCTAGGTCTAGTGCTTTCTTAAAGGTTAAGAACTGATTATCAACAATTTTTTTTGAACAAATCATGAATTTAACAGGTGAATCGGTAGTTTACCAGATTAAATACGAATTCTCAGGGTACCTTCACTATCAAGGTCAGTCCGGGTCATTTTTACCTCCTAGGGGTAATTTTTTAATTTCTTAACAAGGTAATTTCGGTATTAAAACTTTTAACAATGATAAATAAAATTTAGTGATTCTGGGGTTAATTGTTTTTCAGGATAACCACTGAACTTGAAATTATTTCTTATCAGTCTTCTAGTGTCTTATGCATGTAATCTGGGTCTTATTCAATTTAATATTTTATATCGCATACGGATTGAGTTTAGAAATATTAACTATACACACGTAACCAAACATATTCATCCATGCATTAACCAATATAAACATGTTCCACAAAGCATGCATAAGGTAATAATGTATTACCTCGATTTTTGAGTTACACTGATAGATTATAAACTCCATTTGATCACTCTTGAACTTGAATCCAACATCCCATAATATCTCGGACACAAGGCAAAACAATTTGCATCAAAAATAGAACTTAATTGCGAAAAAATAGATCGAATCGAAAAGTCAAACAGTGAAAAATAGTTTATCGAGTTCGAATTTGAAGAAACTGGCCTCAAAAGCGGACTCAGGTTGTTGAAAAACATCAGCATAGACGGTCTCGAAAAAAGTCAATGATCAGTCAAAGATGGTCAACGGTCGATCAACGGTCAATGATTGAGTCAACAGTCAACATGCCATCAATAGAAATTTCTTCTTCCTTTTCTTTTTCTGCAAAATTTGATTTTGCGCCACAATTTCTGTTAAGATCGATTCTACAGTTTGATTTGTAATGACCATACTTGTGACATCTGTAACATTCAATATTTGACTTGTCTACAAACTTTTGCTTGTAACCATTTGAATAGTTATTGTCACGACCTTTTGTTTTTTCTCTGGAATGAGTAGAATAATCCTCATCTGCATTGTAGTGCTCCTTCTTGTCCTTCAATCTTGGTTTTCCACTTTCAAGACCTTTTGGATTGGTTGCTGTTTTCAACGCTTGTTCCTCTTTGTTTTGCTGGACAATTTTTTTATTCATGATTCAGCAAAAAGTTTTACAATTCATCAAGGGTAAGATAATCAATATCTCTTAGAACAAACAACAAAATTAAATTTTGGTGTCATTGATCTAAGGATCTTCTTAATAATGACTATATATTCCATTTTTTCTCCATGAATTTTTATCTTGTTGGCGATCACCATCGTTCTTGATAAGAAATCAGTAATCGTCTCGTTGGGCTTTATCCTTAAATTTTTTAATTCAATTCGAAGGCCTTGTAGTTGCACACACTTTGCCTTGGCATTCCCTTGATTATTTTTCTTCATTGAATCCCAGGTTTGTTTGGAGGTATCTTTGCAAAGAATAGTCTCCAAAGTTACTCGATCAATGTCTTGAAAGAGATAGTTTTTTACTTTGAGATTCTTCAATTTCAATGCTTCCAATTTTACCTTATGTGTAATTGTCATTGCAACTCCTTCCTCTAGTTCTTCTAGTCCAGATTCTTCTACTCCAAATTCAACAACATTCCAATACTCCTTAGACCTCAAGAAGTTCTCCATTAACATGCTCCAATGATCATAATGACCATCAAAACGAGGAATCGCGGGTTGGACAAAATTTTCTGTTGCCATTAACATGGCTTTGATACCAGTGATACAAGAATAAATAGAAGTTATAAACACTTTTATAACAGAACATAGTGAAGAAAAAACTTGATATGTTTATTCATCATGTTCAGCCTTTTATAGAAAACTTTGAGACTAAAAATATCTCAAACAATCAGAAAAATAAGAATTAAATGATTTCTTAAATCTGAACTAACAAAGATTACATAATATTCTAAAATAAACAGAAAATCACAAATAACAGAAAATTAAAATACAATCAACCGATTTTATCTTTGTTAAATTACTGTTGCATATGCTTTTTCATTTTCTTTTAAATCCCGAGTTCCACACCTACTGAAACTAGCCAAGATTATTTGAAACAATCAATGGGAAAATATTCTATTTTTCAGTTCCAAAGCCTGAACTGAGCTTTAGCAAGCGACAAAAATTGTACACATATGGTTCATGATGTCAATACATAGTTGGCCATAAGTGAATATTCATAAGCTTGAAACTCAAACTAGAGCTGTACCATTCTTTCCACTTCCTGGATGGTAAACTTGAGCTCCTTTTGAATATTTAATCTAGAAGGTGATAGCACAATGTCTTTCCAAACTGAACCAGCATCACAAGCCGGGTTGGGGTTCTTGTAAAGTTCGTATATGGAATCGGCGTTTTCATTCAACCTTCCCACCTGCTCTAAACACCCGATCTCATCTGGATCAACTAGCAATGTTCTTTCTTTGTCTTTCCATCCTATCAACTTCACAAAAATTGTTACGTTAATGTTGCATACTTGGTTGCTTGAATTAATTTTGCACAATTAAAGTTCCTGCTTAATTTTATTTGTTAACTCCTGCATGCTGCAGCTATCTCTTGTGGAAACTAGAGAAATTAAGATTGAAAATGTGGGATAGTTAATTCACCTTAGGTGGACCTTCCAAAGTGTTGGTGGAATATAGCCTAGCATTGTCAACCAGTTGGCAGTATGTTGGAAATGCTTTTGCAAATCTCTTGTGGGATTTCAATTGTGATTTCACTCTCACAGCTCGTCTACGCATTATAGCTCTCCTGTAAATTTTGAATTCCTTGATAAAATCAGCATCTTAGGAGGAAAAAAACTAATTACTAGGTAGTTGAAGAATGGAAATTAAGCTCTGTACCTTATGCCTCTAATAACTGCTAAATAGACATCACAAACAACCCCAACCAGCTCTATTCTGTATGGCTTCCTCCTTTTCCCTCCTTTTGGTGATTGATCATCTTCTTCAATCTGTTCCCAGTAATTCTCAGTTACGGTCCCATCAGGTTCTTGCCTGTAACCAGCCCCCATACGATATCGCCGGCGATGGACACATCGGGCCATAGTTATTGTTTGAAGAACAAATGCTATCCAGGAGAGTGTTCCGTCCATGATCACATCCCACCCTTCGTTGAGTGCTGTCACAAGTAGGGATGATGCTGCATCTGTAGATGACTGGTGCACCTGTTTGGAATGATTATTAAAACCAATAACTCAATTATAAGAGTTCAACAAAAACCGAGTTCCAGGTTGATGGTACCATTAGAAGCATTCATATGGCTATCAAATTATTCATTTACCTGTGTGGAAGTGTTTTTTTCTGTTGATTTGTACATTTAACATGGAATTGTATTTTTGGGAACTATGAATCTATGATGACCTAGAGGAGATCAGAAAAATGAAAGATTTTTAACTGTATTCAGTCATTAAGCCTATGCAATTGAATTTAGTCGGTTTGCTAAAGAAAGGATGGGGGAACTACATGTTCCTAAGCCGATGAGGCTGAGAAAGTGACTCTTACTAGTTCAGCTGTATGAACCATATCTGCATGACCTTTGGAGCTGAGGGCTCTGTATATGACATCCGATTCTTTGAATGCATCTGCCTCAATCACAACTCCATTCGCCGCGCGCTGCCTCTGCCCAGAAGGTTCTGTCAATTTTTTATCCACAACACTTGATATAAGCTCCTTGTAAATTGCTCATGGTTACAAATAATTTCAAAGCAAACTTTCTATAATAGTTCCTCATGCAGGAACATAAGGAGACTAATTGTCTGCCATGTTACCCTCTAATTACCTGGGGATGAGTGTCAGATATAAGTATGTGTTCCACATTGTTATGTTCATATATTTAGAGGATTACACTTCCATACCTGTCTGAATATGTGCCAGATGAAGGTTTCAGACAGTAGTACTTAGAAAATGAGAAGTTCAAGTAACATAATTGTGTATTGACATGTATCATGTTCAGTACTTGAGTACTTTTGATATTGAATACAGGTTTCGGACACGGGCTTACTCTTTGAGAATGTCCTTAAGGACTGTACTCTTTCCGGCTCCCATCCCACCTCCCATGAGTAGCAGCACCGGACTTCTATCACTGTGAGCCACTGGAGCCATCACCTCCGTACATTGATAATCATCAGATGAGGTATGCCCCATTGCTTTCATTTCCTCCACCAATGTATTAAAAATTCTAGCCACCTTCAGGTTTTTGGTCACCCTCTCAAATCTTTGTTCCCTATATTAGAAAACCAGAGTTCCTTTTGAAGAATTACTAGTCAAAATGATAACAATGGTTAGAGACTATATCTAGGCTACTTTTTAAGTTTTTAGAATCCAAGTTTCTTTCTGAAAAAGAATATAGCTAATGTTAATAACATTTCTTATAGTTATTGTTATGATCCGAAAATAACATTAATTAATAAATAGAATATGCCCAACCTAGTTGCTGCCATGAAAATCTGCTTGAGCTTTCTCTTTGGTGCAGCATCGGCACTTAATACCTAAAACAATGCAGCATAAAACAAGTCACTTACTATATGTTCCCATTCGAATTTGTGTGTTGGATATAGTTATGTTTCTGGTATATGTACGTTTATTTTCTTAAAGTTTTTTTCATGTATTTGAAGGATTATAATTCCAGAGGTTCTCTGGGGAAACTAGGATTAGGATTTAGGAGCAACATAGTTCCAATGTATATATTATGTATTTATTTTGGTTGCCTGACTAATCATGATATCTACATGGCTCCAATGAAATGCAAAATAACTAAGAATACATCTCTCAAACTCTTCCACGAGCTTAACATATACCGAATCCACATTGGGTTCGTCGGAGAAATATGAATAAATATCATCTTCACTACTTTCTCATTTCCTGATGTATTCTGCTGCTAACTTGCAGAGAACTGGACAAGCTCTTCTACCATTAAATCCCATCTGTCTAGCTGAAACAGACCAAAGAAGCTTCAAAGATGCACATGTAAATCGATAATGAAGCCAGGACAAGACATGGGATCGATATTACCCACGTATTGCTCGAAGGTTTCGAGCATTTCGAGACGACCCCAGCTTGTGTTCCTTGATCGTTGGTGTGGAATGATCTTTTGATCCCTTCGGTTTTTTAGATGATACCTCACCGCCGCTGCAGCGATGATCCCCATTGATGAAGCAACCAGGATCTGTGCCATCTGTGTTAACAAACATTAAAAAAACTATCAAACGAACGATTTAAATATATAAACATATGTATGTATATGTATGTATTACTTTACCCCTCGACATGTCTTCAAATTCAAGAAAATAGAAGTGTGTTGAAAGTCTGAATTTGATGATAACAAATTTGTCATTACTCTTGGCCTTGAAGATGCGCTTGTTAATCGTTATATTTTGTTTGGAAGATAGATGCATGGTTTCATGGATCTTCATTGAGATCAAGACCCAGCACTTACACATGTTATAACCTTATTTCTTGCTATACCTAAATGCATGGCGACACTACCATACATTAATTTCTCATATTTTTTGTGTAAAAAAAAGTAATACATGAAAAAGTTATAAAAATATATTGTTTTACTTTTTATAGTTATGATTGAAATGCTAATTATTTCGTGTTGTCCAAACCCAATTTTTTAGTTTGTGTTGTGGCTCATTTGTTTCTTATTTAACACCATTACCTTCTCATTTTTAAAGTTTATGCGCGCGGTAGGGATTGATATTTTGGATTGGGTTATATATTGAGTTATAAGATACATTAGATTTACTTATTATATTATTTGTGATCTTTATGTTTACAATGAGTTTGTGATCTCTTATTATAAAGATAATCATAATTTAATCACGTTAAATTTCATCTCTTATATATATTTTATTCTATATTAATCTCGTTTTAATTATTTTACCGCTCTCAAGTTACTAACAACTTCAATGATTGCACGCCTTGTCATCGTAGTTCATACGATCATGTAGACAATTGGGAAGTGGGGAGAACTATTCTCACAGATTCGGATGGGGATCATAATTAGACTACAAAAACAGACAATAATCTTGAAAAGAATCTAAAGTCTAACACCTACCCTAATCACCTAACACTCTACAGATACATTGAAGTTCGGATCCAAAACTTTTATCAAAGTCCTCATATGCCATACCCATAAGGACCCACCACTGGAGACGACAACCCATGGCCATGGCTGCTCTCAAAACCATATCAAATTCAAAGGTTTGTTGCCTGTTGCCATCTGAAGTTTGGCTTGTAGTTAAGGCCTAGGGGCCGGGGTCTGGCCTTGGCTTTCAAACTATCTAGGTCCTTGTTTAGCGTTCGGATGCACGTTCTTCATAATAAAGGGGCGCACAGTGCACTGTTGATCGGGTCTTCCTCCTTGTATTGATTCGTTTTTTGACAGATTATTGCTCATCTTCCTTGGCTTATTCATGCACTCGTATCATATAAGTAGACATGTTAGGCTAAGCTTGCAGCTGAGGCAGATGTAATAATAAACTGCATGAGTTATTTCCCAGTATTATGCAGCATGTGATTCTTTACCATGGAAAGTTAATTAAATATTGTTAGACTGATGCATGTAAAGGTGGTTAGTCTGTTAGGTTGATTAGCTAAGTCAGTTAGTTTGTTAGGTGGTTAATGGTTAGCTAAACCATTGTTATAAAAGCAGTGTACTAGCTAATATGAATCTATGCAATTCTTTACTTTGTATATTCTTTGTTATACACACTTCTCAACATGGTATCAATCGCCATAAGTCCTGGAGAAATCGTTTCTGCTGCAAGAAGTTTCGGTGTTCATGGCTGCTGCTGATTCACAGTCGCTGCATGGAGTTCGTCGTCCTCCTCCTCCGTTGCCGCCGGCTTCCGTTTCCACCGCCGCTTAAAATGGAAGGCCGCCGGCGTACGATGACTAAACCGTTTCATGCTGTCAGACAAACGAAGGGGATTCATATAGTGGAAGATACCGCTGCATCACACCAGGGAAATACTGAAAAAGCAAGAATCAATGAATGGGTTGCTCATGAAAATGCCATATTTGATGTATGCTGGATGAAGGATGATAGTTACATTTTAACAGCTTCAGGGGATCAAACTATAAAGGTATGGGATGCTCAGGAAAAGAAATGCACTGGAGTCTTTGCCGTTTGGGATCTAAGATGCAAGATCAACTCCCGAAGTAGAAGTGATGAAGTTTGCCTTGCACCAACTATTCTGGTCAAAGGAGCTCATCCTTCATCTCAAGCAAGGCGGGGTAGACGTGGCAAGCCTGCTGTTGCAACCATTACTTCAGTTCTTTATCTCAAAGATGACATTTCCATTGCTATGTCTAGAGCTGCAGACAGCGTTGTGAAGTTCTGGGATACAAGGAAACTGAAATCCCATGTCACTCAGGCATGTCCCCAACCAGAGGCTGCATCTAAAAAGGGTATATCTAGCTTGTCCCAGGACTCAAAAGGAGTGTTTCTAACAGCATCATGCATGGACAACAAGATATACTTGTATAATATAGTTCAGCTTGATAAGGCCCGTGCAAACTTTCTCTGGATGCCAAATAGAGTTTTTTTTTATGTGAAGTCAGCAATCAGTTCAGACGCAGACTACATACTAAGTGGTTCCAGCAAAGGAAATGCTCATCAAGCCTCAAGCGGAGCCTATCATCTTGAAGAATCACCATGGTGAACTTACTGCAGTAGATTGGTGCCCATCTGAGATGGGAAGATGGCAAAGCTCGATTATCTCATATCAAGAACGTTGCAATTTAGATGTTACTAGGCGTGTTTTTTTTTCTTCGTGATATCTAGCTATTACTATTCTGAAACATGGGCTTTGTTAGCTCAAACAGGAGTTTGTATGGATTCTACAAAGAATTCTAGGTGGACAACTTTAACTCTTGATTAGGAAAAAAAAGTATGTCAAGGAACCTTGTAAAAGAGGGTGAAGAAGGAAGAAATGAAGGTGAATAAGAAGAACGAAAGGAAGCATTAGCACTTTCGATTCAAAGTGAACGGAAGGAAGCATTGGCACTTTCGATTCAAGAAGAACGAAAGGAAGTATCGACACTTTCGATTCAAGTGAACGGAAGGAAGCATCCGCACTTTCGATTCAATTGTTCATCTTTTCATCAAGAAGGAAAAATAGAGGGAATGTTAGATTGCTGTCAAAAGGAGAAAAGGAAGAGCAGGGGGAATGTTAGACTGATGCATGTAAAGGTGGTTAGTCTGTTAGGTTGATTAGCTAAGTCAGTTAGTTTGTTAGGTGGTTAATGGTTAGCTAAACCATTGTTATAAAAGCAGTGTACTAGCTAATATGAATCTATGCAATTCTTTACTTTGTATATTCTTTGTTATACACACTTCTCAACAAATATTATTTGACGATGATACGTGAAATGTATATTTAGTAAAAGTATTTCAGCTTTTCTAATATAATTATTTAATAAGTTAGTATAAATGACTTAATTTATCAATAATAAAAATAGAATGAGATAATTTAGTTAAAATAAAGATTCATGATTTAAAAGAAAGTTGAAATTAAATTTAATGTAGCACGTAAATTACACAATTATACGAGAGGGAACCTTTTTAATTGCTTTACCAGGTAAATAAGACCATCAATATGTTTCCACTGCTGTGAACAATGACTCTATTAATACATATGAAAAACTAAGACATGCGTTCGGTTTTGTCTGTCTCCACGAATAAAAAAAAGAACAATAATAATCAAAAAATATGTCTCCACGACCGTGTATGAAATAATAATCCTATGTGTATATAGTTCATAGCTCTAGCTTTTGATGATGCATGGGAAAAGATATGATCACAAACATGGGATACATATAAGCAGACAAGTTCCAATGGTGGCTCCCCCCTCCTTTTTAGCTTTTTTTTTTCTTTTTCACTTTGTAATCTTTGATCTCCAATCTCATATCTCCAATCTAATTTCTCAAGCAACTCTTATAAAAAAAAAACCTCTGATTCCAATTTTTTCAAAAATATAATACCACTAGTTACTGCATTTTTTTGACTGACATTCTTTTCATCATCTCATCTTTTACAAATTACTGCAAATAGTACTGCATGTTTCTCTTCAAACTAGCTTCATCCATGTAGATACTACAGTTGTTGATGACAGCATACTGACAACCTACGGCAGATCTGAGTTCTGTCCTACACGGAATGAAATATTTTAAAATATTTTAGGGATGGAACCAAAATTTTATTAAAAGATATAAAATTTTATAATGAAAACATATTATCGATATAAAAGGTAAAAAACATATTTTCAATTTATGATAATTTGAAATTCACAAAGGTGGTTGTCCCATCTTTTTCTCGATCTATCCTTGGAAAAGACCGTAGACAACAACGATCCAAGTTTTGCAGTCAGATGTTCACATTGAGGCACAACTGTTATATGACAACCTATTAACTAGAAAGAGGAAAAAAGAAATAGAAAACATGGAGAATTAGGATGTAAGGTTCTTCTACCTTTAATTTACGGGTTCCAATGCTGCTGTGGATCGATCCTTGGGACAGTGAAGCTGTGAGAAGACATGGCTATAGAACCAAGTTGGGGGGAATGAAGCCTGGTCCGAAATCATTCAAAAGACAAAACACAGTTAAGATTTCATATGAATGACTTCGAACCAGACAACATTCCCCGCAACAGTTTATGTTACAGATACCCGTAGAGCATAACAAAGATGGTGTAATGAAGAAGGATTGGGAGATGTGGCAAATTCTCTTAGAGAGAGCGAGAGAGAGATAAGGAGAAATGGGATGTAGATTATTAATACTTTGTGTTATTGGTTTCGCCATGCATTACTTTTCTCCCATGGGGTCCTTATATATACGTAGTAATGAAGAGAAAGGGTTCACATGATTGATTAGTCACCCTAACCCCCCTTGTTTTCACACACAGGGTGCGGAGGAATTTTTTTTTATCATTGGTGTTTATTTTTATATCTCGCTTGTAATTTTTTCCTTTTGATTTGTGATTGATTACTTATTATTAGTACATAACACCATTGTTAATATCGTCTCTAAGACTCGAGTATGAATACTGTCGTTGAAAATATAATATATCTGCACCCCGCATTTATAAATTTTCACAAGAATGCATTTGAATATCTCTCCAACAAGTTTCTTGATTAGGTATTTTCCCTGTTGGGGACTCATATCAATGTTTTTATTTATCTTTTCCATTAATGATTTTTAGGTCAACTAAAAGCAGTCACTAATTCTGATAAAAAAGAGAGCGGAAAAGCAGTCACTTTTAGACTCGTAGGCACAGCCAATTGGTCTAGTGTCAACCACTTCTTTTTGAGTAAAGAATTTTCCATGGTTTAACTTTATATTGAAGAGCATGATCAGCAAAATTTTCAGTGTCATTAAATATTTCAGTTCTTTTTCAGAAATAAAGCTAGAATCCATATGCAAATTACTTCTTAGTTTGCGGAAATTCTAAAATACAACTAGTTAATATAAAGTTAAAAAACGATATAAATTAATTAACATAGTAACATTTTAGGTTGAAACCGAAAATGTTCTAAATTTGTATAATTTTTTTTATTATAAGTCATAAAACCCTTATAATGTAACTTTTCGATTGCAACGGAAAATATTTTAAACTTGTATAACTTTTTTAATTGAGCATGATAAGATTTTAAGTTAAAACCACTTCAAATTAATCTTAAATTTGACTGTCGTACACCATAATTACTCTTGTAATGGAGGCATATGAAGCTAGTGTGATGCCCAAGCTTGGGGCTGATAAAGCAAAAGAATAAAAGAGGAGCAGCAACCCAATTTTACTAAAAAGGAAGAAATGGAATGGAAATGGGAAAAAAGAAAGAAAACATAAAGTGGAATGCAAAGTCACCAAAGCTAATTTATATTAATGAATTATTCTCATTTCATTTGCTTTGATTTCTTTTCTTGGTAGCCAAGTGGTAAGATGATCCTTTTATAGATATATAGATTAAGAAATGAAAAAGAAAAGGTAAAAAAAATCCTTTTTTAAGTATATTTTAATTTTGTTAGACAAATTAATCTGTTAAAAAGTATTTAATCTTTGCTAGTTTTAAAATTAATTAACAATCAACTATAGTTAATCGTAATATTAATATTTTTTTCAATTTTATATAATTTTGATTGGCATAATTAATATAATTTTTTATATTTATACATTATGTCAATTTGATTTTTATCCTAAAAAATTGTTAATTTTAACTCTCCTGGATCTTTATAGAATGTGTAAATTATTGAAATATTTTTATTGTAAAAAAAATATTTTTTATGTTAGCATTTGATTGAAAATAGAAAATTTTATTGAAATAGATTTATTGTTACATAAATTTTTTTATCAAATAATTGACCTTCTAACTTTTAAAATAATGTGTAATACGAGAAAGACGAGGGACGATTTATGATTCTATTTGTATTTTGTTATTTTTGACATATTGTGAATATTATTATCATCCGTAATTTTTCTGTTTTTAATATACATAGATTTATTTGTATGGATTACTTCTCATTACAGAAGCGCATATGAAGACTGCATATGAGGACTGCTCAACTATGTATGTATTTATTTATTTATTTATACATACATACATTGCATTTTATCTTTATTTTTAATTTTCTGAATGCCGGAGGTCTTCCACGGAAGCTGCTCTCAACCTGGCGTTGGGGGCAGCCTACTACCCTACCTTCCCTTACCTCATTGCATATGAGAATAGGGTTTTATTATTGTTATTGTTGTGTTAAAATTAATTACTTGTAAATCTCACAGAGACTTAAAAAATATTTTTAAATGGTAAGCATGTAGTTTGAATTAATTATAATAAAGTTACTTTCATAAAGCAAAAAATGAAAGATCAAACCGACAGCTTGAATTTGTTAGAAACAAAAGTGTATATGTACAGAAGAGAGAGAGAATGTTATTTGGAATATGAACAACTATGGCAGATCTGCCTACACACAACGGTATTTGCATTACAATTAAGCATTTGGGAAAAAAAGTTAAAAAGTTAAGAAAAACAGAGATTTTTTAATGTTTCTTTTATTTAATCTCATATTTACTGCTCCCCTAATATTTCCGTTCATTTCCTCGATTCATTCTGCTCTGAAATGAATCGGGAAAATGAACGGAACAATTATTTCTCTAACAACTTTAAATTATAATATATATATTCTATTCATCATTTTCTTCCCTTGATATAAAATTTTAGGTCGGTTTGTGATCTTGCCCTTGTCCAAATTCTATAAGCAATCATGATAATGTCCTACTTCTTATGGAAGCTCTCAGCTTATGATTGCATGCATGAAAACCAAGGGGAAGTAGCCAATATCTGTCCGGAAAACAAGTCAAATGCCCCCCCAACAATAGAAATGAAAGGTAAAGATGCCTACATGAAGAAAAAACGATAGAATCGCTGAATTTGACAAACCCAAATCACGGTATTACTAACAATACAAAAGCATCTTATAGGGAATCATTCCAAACAAAAGCATCCTTTTACCTTCAATAACCCCAGTGAAAAAGTCGATAATCCAATAAGGCAATTGCCTACATGAAACCCACTTTTCTTATATTGTGAAAGAAGATAATTCTTCATTTTTAACTGCAAATAATTGTGAATCATTAATGTCAAATGGGAGTATGTTGCAGCTTTGAATTATTCCACGTACTAAAAGATTTGATAGTCCCATGCCTAAATCTGTTGATGTAAACCATTTTGGTTGGGGAAAAAAACATATATAATTTTCTTTGATTGAATGCAGAGTCGAACATCACAATGAGTTGTGAACTACCATCAGGATGGGATGTATATCAGACAAGAAAGGCAAATTCAGTTTAATCAAATATAAACAATCATGAGATACAGCTAAGGAAGCTTTGTATTATATATCATATATAACATCAAATAAAAATTGAAGAATCTTTTGCCATGAAAAGCACTGTAAATAACTCCAAATTTTGGTTGGTCCAGATTTCTGCATTTTTGTGAAGAAAAACTTGCATCGTCCTTTCAGTCTCTGTGGAAAATTTTGGAGTCCTTTTCAGGGTTTCAAATAGCTTTAAAATTATATCAATTTTATCGATTATCAGTTAATTTAACGAGATAAAATATATTTTAAAAAATCAGTTATCGATTATCATGCATCCATGCTATGGAAAAAATAGTCTAAAAAGTCAAACCAATCTTTTGTATTTTCATTGTGTTTCCACATTTCAAGCATGTTATATGTATTAATTTATATGTAGGATCAGCTTTGCTTTAGTGGTTGATATTTGTGAAACAATAGTAACTTTTGGAGGTGATTTTATATGCTCAAAATGTAATGAAAACAAAATTTGTGAGAGGTTTGTGATATAATTTATATCAAGACCTGATATGATTAAACATTAGAAGATTTGTATGTTTATTTTAAATAAAATAATCTACCATTATTGAAGTATTTCAATGACTTCCGTCCATCTTTCCTAAATTTTGGTGATGTGAAATGCTGCACAGACAAGTCGTAATGTTACGTTGGATCGTGACAATATAAATTGAAATTATTTTATTTAGGTTTTTCATATGTCTTTCAAGATTTTAATCTAATGATAATTTAAGATGTTGTATATTTAAAATTAAATAAATTAGATTATATTTTTTTTAAAATTTTAATAAATTATTATATTTTTTAAATTTAATAATTTAGCTTCTATTGATGTTTGATTTTAATTTTGTTTCTATCATAAATTATGTCATATAGCACACCAAATACTTGTAGGGTTTAGTTAGATAAATAATCATAGAGTCCCGTGTGGAAGGGCTCTCGCTCAACGGATCAAAGGTATGTCGGGTATAACAGGTTGATGACTCCCAAGAGCTCTTATCGACGGAGTCGTACCTCGATGTCGACTCATCACATCCTGGGGTTGAAGAAGGTCCCAAGGGTTAGGTTGTTTGCCGATTCAAGTGGTACATAAGTTGGGTTTAGAACGTCGTGAGACAATTCAGTTCCTATCTATCGTTGGTGTTAAAGGGGGAACTGCGATGAGCTAATCGTAGTAGGAGTGGACTGGGTTGGGCTAACCTATGGTGTACCAGTTGTTATGCCAATAGCAGCGCTGGGCAGCTAAGTTGGTATGGAAGAACTGCTGCCCCGCGGGAAATCCTTCTCTATATAAGTTCTCAGACGAGGTTTTTGAATAGAACTTCGATAGGCGAGAGGTGTAAGCACTGCGAGGTGTGAAGCGATCTCGTACCAAACGAAACGACTTTCACTTTCCATAAAAAAATGAAAGAAAGTCAACTGAATAAAGGAAAGCGAGGAGGGAGGTAGTTCAATCTATTAATTCAAGCAACTGCTCATATTTCGTTAGTTATCCGTCCGAGTTCGAGTAAATACAGTTTTCAAGCTCAAGCTCGGAAGAGATCTATTCATTGATAAGAAAAAGAAAAAAACATGAGCGGTAATTGGATTGACGAACATCATTTTATATTAGGAGATAAATTCATAAAATCTAATAATGACGAAAATAAATTTTTAATAAAAATATCTAAATTACAAAAAAAAACAATTATCTCACACCTCTTCCTCCCTAAAAACAGCTATCATGCATGTTTGTTACTATTTAGCTTTAATTGGAAATCATCAACTTCCGTGCATTCGGCCTTTACACTGATTAGGTCTTTAGGACCCAAATTTCCGGATCTCTATCATTTAGTGTCATTTACGTAACATCAATTTTGCTACTATTTTTTTATTTACTCTATGCACATAATATAATTGCACATTTATTTATTTGTTTAAAAAAATGCTTTTTGATCTTAATATATTAGAGATGATAATAGAGCTACGTGGTTAATTTGATTATCACATTCATAGGTATTGGATATTTTAATTATATTAATTTTATTCTCAAATTATTTAATTGTATCAATTTCATCATTTGACTGTTAAATTATAGTGGTGATGTGATTAACGATGATTATGTGAAGGTTAATTGTGGTAATGTAATAGTCCACGATGCGAACATGACAATCCACATCTGAATGATGATGTGAGATAGAAAGTTAATTAAATGTTTGATTGATTTTGAATGCATAATTAATTTTTTAACTAATTTAGAGAATAAAACTGAATTTAATTAAAATTTCAATGACTTATTTAATCTCTAAAAACATAAGAATTTAATAATTATTAAAATTTAAAAAATATATAAAAAATTATAAAATGATAAATATATAAAAAGTATTTAAAAAGCACACTTATTTTTAGTTTGTTGTGGAGGGATCCGAATCCGATTCTCACTTTATCCCGGGTATCTTGACCCGGAAGATTAATTTCCCCAAAACCAAATCCATTTGTAGTACGTAGCGATCATATGTAAAATGTCAAAAAAGCATATCAACGCCGTTGCCGGGGATCGAACCCGGGTCACCCGCGTGACAGGCGGGAATACTCACCACTATACTACAACGACCTTATTGACAACAGGCTATGTGTTTTTATTTTGGAAAAGCAATGATCCTTCTGTCAAATAAAAAAACCATGAAAGTTTTTTTTAAAAAAATATTCAAGTATTGATTTATTAATTATGAATAAAATTTAGGAACGGCATGAGCCATTAGCGGGTTGATGACCTTCATTGGTGGTTCTTCCAGAATGCTGAGACCTTCTGTCATGCCTTAGTTCCTTTTGGCTATTTATTTTAACACAAACTTTTAACTATACTACTTCAGACGTAGCATCAGTTACGTTATGATATTTTGTTTTTATTATGGATCGAGAAATATATTTTTTACTTTTCAGAGTTTCATTAGATAATATGACAAAAAAACTACAGAATCCATATATTAATCGAGGATCATCATAATTACTATCCCACTCAATATAATAATAAGTAGAAAGGTCTGTAGTTGCATTAAGAAGAAAGATCAATCAATAGTCTAGCATACCTTTCTAGAAAAAATGCAACTTTATTTACATTGGAAAAGATATCTGGACGAATGTGTGTTAAGATGTTACAATGCCCCTACTATATTGAACATCTTGATATAGAATTTCACCTTTATCCTTAGGCGAGAAGAGACGCTCATCGCTGTCTGAACTTTTAGTATTCTTCCTGCAAAAGTTCTTGAATAAATTTACTCATAATAAAAGTACTGATTGTGGCTTTTAGGAATATAATTACCTCATCATAGTTTTACTCATAATACGATGGTGTAATATAACCAAAAAGAAAAGATGGATGGAAAGATTGAGGCGGCTGACCCAAATAAAAAGAAATAATTGAAACAAAACATCGTTCTCTGATTTATTGTGTCTAAATATAACAAGTATAATGTTAAAATAATTCATAACATTTGATTAAATAGTTATTTTTGTCTCTATTTTTTTAAAACATTTTAATTCTCAACATTTCATTTTGTGTTTATTTTGGGTCAAAACGATTATTCTATGAATCAAAAATATTAATTAACGCTCCAAAATGGGAGCCTTTTAATCCTAAAATAAAATGTTCCAAAAAAAAATTAAGAGTCGAAGTGACTATTCGGTCAAACGTTAAGGGTCTTTTTGTCCTAATATGAAACATTACATTGGAAGGCTAAATTGCTCAAAAAGAAAAAAAAAGAAAAAAAAGAAGAATATCGACCAAAGTGATCATTTTAATAAACAATGGGGGCTAATTTTAGCATTACACCAAAACAAATCAAACCCACAATGATTTCATACAAAAAATTTGCTTTGCAACTTCGTATTGTTTGCCTGAGAATCTAATTTTCTTTTGCAATCCCATCAAGATGACAGTTTCCCCTCAAATTGATTAGATGTAAGCTTAGGCAGCAGTTCGGAAACCACGTTTTGCAATGTAACATGCTTCACCCTGCCATTGCTTCCGTTTAAGACCGATTTCGACAAAAGCGTTACCTCCTGCGAGTTGACATGATCATTCAGTAGCTTGTTCCAGAACTTATTGTCCTCGTTGAGGTCGGGTGTTTCTATCAGTTCCACCACTTTCTTCATCGTCGCTACATTCCTACCAGCACCGCAACCCATAGCAGTAGCTGCACCCACTGCATTTGCGAAAGCTAACGTAGTAACCAACGGAATGTCATGTATAAAACCGAATGCAATAGCAGCAACGAAACTATCTCCGCACCCGACAGTGTCCACGATTTTCACCTAATCAAGCATATTAAAGAATCGATGACCTATAGCTTTAAAAATACATTTTCAAGCTACCAAAAGCAGCATCCAAGCTTAAAGCAAATTGAAACTTAACCGACAATAGCATTCATATGTTAACTACGACCTTCTATGTTTCCGGATATACAACGAAGCTATAACTCACCTTAAATGCTGGCGCACAAGTAATACCTGACTTGGTTATCAGAATCGAACCCTTAGAGCCCATCTTCACAAGCACCCATTGAGCATGGTTTCCTTTCTTCAGCAACTCCTGCCCTGCTAGAATAGGGTCAGCTAGGCCGGTTAAACCTGGAAGTTCACGAATGCAAGTAATAAGGTAAACAGCCAAAATATAAATAGTCAGATAGGACATATTTTCACATCAAATACCATAAAACCCAATTACTTCCTACTGGAATCAAAACCTCCATAGTTGCAGGCTTAGACAGATGATAAATATTTCTTAGATCGATGGTTAAGCTAAAGAACTAACCAATAAAGGAACAATCATTCCCACCGATTAGACGAAACTTGTGATGATTCAGATATGAATTAAAACAGGTCTAATAGGAGAATGTAGCATCAGATTCAATAGCCTACATTTTAAGAAAGATCTAGGGAATCAACTCCCAAAAGTCGAAATGATTACAATGTGACATCAAATTGGTTATGAAAGCAACGCAAACAGATATAGAAGCACAACACAAGCAGATAAAAAAAGAAATAGAATGAACATGTCCATTGATTCTGTAAAAAGCACCTAATCAGCTGTTAGGAGGACATCACTCATCCTCAAGAAATGCCTAAGTGCTTTTTGCTCTTCCACGGTTCCACTTAAAAGACTCTTCCCTCGAGGCCCCGGATCAAAGAACACCGATGTACCGACTTCAGCAGCATACTCCACGGCTGAGACTATCACATCAGGGGACAAGTCATCAAAGCCATAACCATTACAAAATAGGATTCTCGAGCGTTTAATCGCCCTCTTTACTTCTTCGGACAGTGTATTCATCCAGCTAAAAGCAGGTTCCTTACTGAAATCCGCCCGACTATCGAAACAAAAACGCATAAAACTTCAGCAACCATTTAATCATCACTGAAAAACAGTAAAAAGGGAAGTTTTCTTTCTCTTTACCTGCAAAAGCCATGTTTTTGCGAGGGATCAACGAGCACCCAGCATAAGAGGGTTTCATAAGAAGAACTAGGGGCGTCGAGAACATCAGTTTCTTCACTCATTTCAACCAAACCAATTCCTTCATCACGATGCACATCTAGAAGAAACTTCCCATAAATTTCACTGCCAACGTGACCTATTGTAATACACTTAAGTCCCAGCCTCGCAGCTGCTATAGCCATATTACAGTTCCCACCAGCTTCCCAGTATCGCTGGGATCAAAAACCATAAATCAAAACTCAATAAATTTGAAAACTCCATTTTTTTTTTAAAAACGTAACCTTTTTTTTTACCTTATCTGGAGGAGAGGCGGCTAACTGCTCCATGAAGGCTTTGCGAGCGCCAGATGAAGGCGGGGGTAATTCGGGAACATTGAGGACAATATCGACGCAGAGATTGCCGAGGGTGGCGACATCGACGATTTTGACGACATTGGCGGCGGGTTTGACAGCGTTGGAGGTGTGGAGAGAGCCAGAGGGGTGATTGAGAAGTGGGGTGTGGAGAACGCGGCAGGTGAAGGAAAAGTGGGCAGATTTGGAGATGGTGGTGTTTGGATGGAGGGTTAAGAAAGGGGAGGGGAAGAGGAGGCGAGAATGGATAGGGTTGCAATGGTAGCGGTGGCGGGGATGGGAAGGAAAATGGGCGTTTTTAAAGGTTACTGATTGGTGATTCATTCAGAATATGCAAGTGAAAATGAGTTAAAAACAAGAAGAAGAAAAAAATGGAGGGGATTAGGATTTGGTTTTGGAATTGTGAGTTAAATAAAATTGTTTATACAGAAAAGTGGACGGAATATATGAATGTGTGACGATCGGCTAAAGAAATTTTTTTCCTTTTTGCCTAAAAGTTTGAGTCGGGTACTGAAGTTGAGATTACTGGGTTTGATGATTAATATATGAGCACCAACCGGATTGTTCGTCTTTCAACCTTCATAGTTTGAACCCCAAAATTCATTGTATATTTTATTTAGTTCATACACTCATCAATATATATAAACGAGCTTATAAATGAGCTTTCAAACAAACTTGTTCGAGAACATAAACGAACCGAACACACCTCTATTTATGTTCGTTCATTTATTAAATGAACATAAAAGTTTTTTTCCAAACTTATTTATTTAGCTTCATTTACCCCTAGTTAGAATCAATGTTAATCTGGATTGTGTTAGAGCCTAGAGGTTAACAACTTTCAAACAATATATAATCTCAAGAACCTTTGTAGAATAAATGCAGCAGTGATTTTTTCATTGGTACAGTGGCCATCATCAACATGGAATACATGCTCAAATTACTTTATTTAATGTATCATTGATTTCATACTCCAAAACCTTTGCCTGTTTGAACAATTCAAGCTCAAATATCCTGTTCTGTAAGGTTCTTAGATTACTTTCGAATTCGAAGCTTTAAATCATTTCAATCTACATGAAAAATTCAAAACATTTCTGTCTAGCAGTAGCCATACCGAGAAAAAAAGCTCTGCTGGTCTGAGTGTGTAATTCATCGAATAAGTTTCTATAAAACACCGAGAAAACTCTGCTGGTCAGCCGAAAATGTTCGAATTTAAAATTGATAGATATCAGGATGAATCTCAAAAACACCGCCCAAAGAAAAGACAGGAATGAAGGTGGTTTTATCTGAGAAAACTCTGCTGGTCAGCCTCGTGTATATTTTCATGCCTTCGCTAGATCCTCGAGTCGCATGACAACTTTTTGAGCTACATCATGGTAAGCTTTTGAGACAGCAGAATCAGGTGCTGATACCACTACGGGTGTGCCCTCGTCACAGCCTTTCCTAATGTCCAATTCAATGGGTATCTGAGATGGTATTGGTAACGGATCATATATATTTACAGCTTCGAATATCGAGAAGCTACATTTTACGATAAAAAATTCAGCCATTGAGAAGGCCAAGGAAAGCCCTCAACCGACTACAAGTATAAAGAAAGCTATAACAAAGTGACAATTATTAGCTTTAATAAACAGCTTACCTCACCAACAAGTTGCAAACCCATCTCAGCAGCTGTTTTACGTGCTCCACCCTTACCAAAAATGAATGAAGGCTCGCCACAGTGCGGACACTTGAAGCAGCTCATGTTCTCTATTAATCCCAAAATCTATAAAAACATGTCAAAAAAGCTTATCATTAAATATCCTCTCTAATGCAGTAATGCACTTTTTGGCAGCAGTTCAGTTAATATACTAGTCCCAGAAAGGATTTCGTAAAACCGAAATCTTTCACCGTCAGCAGTGACATTTCTATCCCACACACAGATTTACTACTTAAAGTACCAAGAAATAGAAATTGTTATTTTTTGTTAATTCCATCATTACGGAGGGAAAGTTTAACTGGCAAGCTGAAGAAATAATATCTCATGCAGAAGAGAGCAATCATGGTTAAAAACTTCATAAGGATACCAAATTTAAGCACTACACAAAAATTATCAACAAGCTTTGCAGGCATGATAAGAGAATTCGTGCAGAAATTACCACTTACAGGAACTTGAACTTTAGAGAACATTCTAACTCCTCTACGAGCATCAATCAGTGCAACATCTTGTGGGGTTGAAACTATTAAAGCACCTAAGAGAAAACATCAAACATAAATTTTTGAAGTAAATAAATGTATTGGATAGGGGAAGTGAAGTAAGATATGTTTTCCTTCATTTCCCTTTTCCCGTTCCGGAATGTATCCCCGCATGTAAAAAATGATTTCAACTATATCAAAGAAATCAACTAAAAGGCATATACAGGCACCAATGATCTAAGTGATATTAGTGAGGTTTGATAAACGAATCTTGAATTTACATAGTAAGTGGGATAAAAAAAAAGGCATATACAGGCACCAACTAAACGCATAGTACCAAATACTTTGTTCCCGAAAGGGATAAAAAAAAGGCTAAAATTTAATTGTCTACCTGACAACTGAAGCTTCTGGGACATGGTTAGTTGTGCATCACCTGTTCCAGGGGGCATATCCACCACAAGGATATCAAGATCTCCCCAGTCAACATCCCTCGACATTTTCTGAAGAGCACTCATCACCTGAAATGAACATAAGCTTTCATAAAATACTATGTAAATCAAAAATAAATCAAAAATATAGAAAGAAACATCTAAAATAGTTTAGCATGCAATATTCTTAAGCTCAGTGAATGCAACTGTTATAAAGATATGTGAATTTCAATTTGCAGGACAAACTCTCAAAAGAAGCAATGGCGACTTATAACACAATATCTAGATTATATAAAACAGGGAAGTCGACTCAACTAAGGTTGGATTTGAATCAAAGATGTCGGCAACATGATATTTTTCTCTGCTCTGCAGATTAACGGTGTGATATACAGACAACTGGATTTGAAGCTATAAAGAGATGTTCATTCCAGAATGAATGAAAGAAAAATAAGACACAACCTATATAAATTACAATACCATGGGTCCTCTCCACACGATTGGCGCATCCTTATCCACCAGAAATCCCATTGACATACACTTCACTCCATAGTTCTCAATAGGAATCATCTTCATATCTGTATGTAAGTTTCGAGAAAGAGAACTTTGAAAACATATATCATAAAAGAAAGGTAACAAATGATCGTAATTCGTAAACTGTTCGGAAGAACAATAGGCAGAAAAGTTTCTTGGGAAATTTGGCAAAGGATGTTTACTAAACAACAAATGATATTGATAAAAGGGCAAAGGCACAGCAAAAGACAATTTCAGGAAGATTAACTTATTCTCCAAAACAAGTGTTGTACTAATGGATAATTAATCAATATACTAATAGAACACTTTCACGTTTTTTCCCATTGACTGAAGAAAGATCATCTCCTGGAAGATAGAAATATTACCTTTATTAACTTCTGGCTTTTGGTGGATGTTCATCATGGTTGGAACAGATGGTCCATACACATCTGCATCAAGCACTCCTATCTTCAATCCACACCTGTTAGCTAATGAAACCGCCAAATTAACTGCAAATATTGCAAATAAACCAACATGAGTGAAAAAAAATCCCTGGAAAAATGGTATCCCTAAGTCCTAACCCATGAACATGAAAAACTAATAGATTACCAGCAGTAGTAGACTTGCCAACACCACCTTTACCAGAGGCAACAGCAATCACATCGTTAACCCCTTTAATTCTCAGCTGATCGTTTCTTAACACTGAATAGCTCCTAACACCCCCAAGCCTCTGCCCAAAGGAAAAAGAAAAACTCAATTTTTGAATCAACCCAAAAACAAGAATCATTTTCTCAACAAGAAATGAAGGTTTAATCAGTGAAACCGGTGAAGCACAAAGGCCTTTAATCTTACAGCAAAAGGTCGCCAGAAGCCCTTCATTGGAAAACCACTTAACTAACAGTTAGCGAGACTCACAGACGCAATCATAACAGCAAAAAAAAAATTGCATCTTTATTCACTAAGACGATGCGATGGCTGGGAATAAATTGTTAAAGGAAGGTGAAGGAGAACGCTGAAGCCAGCAACTTAGATTGGCGGCCCATATTGCACTTGGTGGGTGTCCAACTTTACTACACTAAGGCCTATGGGTGCATAAACTAAACTATTTTATTCTTCATCTCTATTCAAAAAGGGGGGGGGGGTGAAGATGGAAGAGGAACTTGCAAAATATGGCCTACAAGGCTTCCAAAGGTTTTCAACAACATTCACAATATGTTTAGGGTGAGTATTCGATAAACCTGAATCGAGTGAGAAAAAAATTAAATTAATCAAGTTTATGAGTAAAAATTTATTTAATTTTTTAGTCGACTTTATAAGATTTATATTGAATTGAATATATTTGATCTAGTTTATGTTTATATTTAAATGTAATTATTTATAATAACATAGTATTGATTAGTTCTAGTTTAAATGATTCTCTCTAATCATATCCAATATATATATATATATATATATATCATATTCGTTTTCACATGTCTAATTAAGATTTGTAATATTATTTTTTTGGGTTGCCCTCCCGGTTTCTCAGAATTTTTCTCTGACTAATCCGGACTGACCCACATTACGCACTTGATTTTGATGGGTGAGTGTCTCAATAGGGATTTTTTTGCATACATAAGACCTCAACTCGAGACCTATTTAAGTGATATCAAATTGATTACTACTTGAACCAACCCCGTTGGTAATATTTGTAATATTATTTAGTAAACTAAATATCATCTAAAATTATACACTATATTTATAATATTATTTTTTAAAAGAGAGAGAGAGATTCTAATGAAAAAATATTGATGAGAGTACTAAATAGGTCAAGGAATTGATGAAATTTACAAAGAATTGTAGTTAGGGCCCAAATTGAATAAAACATAAAATTGAGAGATTAAATTACAAAAAATATATTTTTAAAAAGAAAATTGAAGATACAAAGGTATTCTAGTATAGGTGAAGAGTAAATAATTCAAATTTGATAAAAAGGTTTTCCAGTAAAACAATAATTAAAAACTAAGAAAATTAGAAATTAAATCATAAATAATTAAATTATCTAATTAAGGCTTAAATATACAAAAGGTGTCCAATCTATGCCCGTTTTTCTAGTTTAGTGTCTAATGTTTATTTTGTTCCATTTTGGTTCCTAACATTTCATTCCATTACTCAAAATAGGTCAAGTCGTGACGAACCATTAATTTCCTCCATTAAGTTACATGTGTCACAATCTGATAATTTTAAAAAAATTATATAAATTAAAAAAATTATATATTAAAAAAAAAGAAAATGCAGAAATTTTGAAATAACCCCAAAACTTTGAAAACCTTCATTTCAACCGTTAAACCCACGCTGCCCGCCGCCCTTTATCGTCAACGAAGCTCCACCTGACCTCACCTCTCCCCGACGACCAAAACCTCTATGAAATTGTGACTGATCGACGACCGATCGATGGTGAATCAACATTTTATACCCCGCGAACCCTAGGATGAAAATTGAATCCCAAGCGATATCGACGGCCAATCGATGACAACTACGACAACTTATAACTAGGATAATGACAAGGATTACGTCAGCGGCGATGGTCGTGGCCGGAAAGGGAAGCGGCGGGGGGTTAGTGTTATGATTTGGGGATTTTAAGGATTTTGAGGCTTTTTTGTAATTTAAAAGAAATAAGGTTTTTTATGAATAATAATATTTTTAATATTTTTAAAAATAAACTTCAAAATTACGAGATTGTAACACGTGTCACTTAACGGAGAAAACTAACAGTCTGTCATGGCTTGACCTATTTTGAGTAACATAATGAAACATTAGGCACCAAATTGAAATGAAATAAATGTTTGGCACTAAACTGGAAAAAAGAGAATAGATTAGGCACCTTTTGTATATTTAAACCTTTAATTAAATATCGAAATAAGATTAATTTAGTTTTCGATTTTTTTAGGTATTCAAACTTAAAATTTCATATTTTACTAGTAAATATGTCTCACCTTGCACGCATCTTTTTCCTTGGTCGAACGCACTATCCATTTCACACATTATATAATACTACGTAGGGGATTAACAAAGATGATCAAACCCTAGCTAAAACCTATATATATAAACATAAATTCTTCCACGTTCCCACACTTTTTATGACTGTCAGTGCTTAAATTAAACCTAAAAGTGCCGTGTTGTTCCTTAGTTCCATGCCTCGTTTCAACCTTCAAACCACGGCTTAATCAGTCAAACTCCGCCATTTTCCAGGCTGCAGTCAAACCACACCCATCGGATAACCACTCAACGCCACTGCCTCTCTCTATATTTACACACACAAACACCAATCTCAAAAACAAAAGCTTCATAGCAATAAGTTTCCGGCGGCCATTCACAGAAGATGGCATTCAAAAACCTGTTTAGAACTTCATTCGTTATCTTCTTATTAGTAGCTTCGCTCCAACTTGGAGAAATGAGGCCAATGCATGGGGAGCAATGGTTGGAAAAAGATGATGAGCTTTTGTTTCAATCGTTGCAGAAAGGACCGGTGACGGGTTCCGGACATAATCCGTGCACGGAAATCCCTGGCAGAGAAACCGGCGTCTGCAAGTTGGGTGGCATGAATGTCGCCGGCTATGTTACGCACGCGCCTCCGGCGTTTCCCCGTGGTTGTTGCAGAGTTTGGGGTGGCTTCCATTGCCAAGGGGACTTCATCATGATCGAGATGAGTTCTTAATTAATAGCTGTCCGTAATTCAAAATACATATTGATCAATTTTTTTCTTCTGGTTGTTTAATAACTTGTTTTTCTTTGTTAGTTCTTGGTTAGGACATACGATCTAAGTAATGTTTGGTCGTAAATTGAACCGCAGTTGGTTGACAATTTATTCAAGAAACACAAATTGTTGATTACTTATCTCTTCAAAATATTAGTAGTAATTTTCTGTCCTTATCCCGCTTATTGGAACAAATGAGTTTACGGCGATAATAGACGATTCATTAGTTCGATTTACGGGGGAAAAATTATGGTTCATTTGTTTGATTTAGACAAAAAATTACAGTCGATAGTCAGACAACTGTTAATTGGTATTAAATTTTTTGACCAATTTTTTTTACCCATAAGGAGGTAGAAGAGAGATGAGTGTAGAAAGAGATTTTCAATCATTTTTATTGATCTCGATCAAAAGATTTTATAATGACCCTAAAAAATGAATAGTTAACTTACGATAAAGAAGACAAATGAATCTGCAAATGATAAAGAAGAGTCCCAAAAATGCAAATTTGCGTGCATGGACCGGCTAACAATTTTTAAATCACAAGATTAAATAAGAGTGAAATTAAAATAAATTATAATTAAAAATGTAGTCTTGATACAAATTCAAATATAAACTTTAAAATTTTCAAAATCTCAATCATATAATTAAAGGAAAACTTCATGTTATAGAATATGAAGTTTTAACATTTCTCAAGGCAGAAGACAATTCAGAATTCAGATTAGATCAAACCATTGACTTTTAGTTTGGACACCCTTTAACCGGCAAGAATATTACAACTTGGAGCAGAATACAAGCATTTCTAAGAGGGCACTAAAACAAAAGTTACAAAATATATGTATGTATGTATGTATGTATGTATGTATGTATGCATGTATAAGATGCAAGAGCGGGATAGTTAGTAGTTCAATTACATAAGCTATTGTTTCTTTTATCCACCAGGCATTGACATCTTGATAACCATATATATCATACATACAAGCTACACAACACAAATATAGAACCAGAAATATCAACAAAAAATAATATATGAATCGTCGGATTATTTACATATGATTAGCGGCACTAGGCAGGAGGTGTTCTTACATCTACAGTCGAAACGGGCACATAACTGTGGTACTTAAATCCAAAGGCTGTCGGAATGGCAGCTTCGTGATAAGGAATCTCCAGGTCTTCTTCTTAGGATGATATATCTGAATGAACAATGTCCCCGTCCTCTTCTGCTGTCGTGATCGCCGAGTTTCGGTTGAATCAATTCCATTTACAATTGTCATCACATGCAACTCCCCGTTCATAACAATAAAACCAAATGAAGTCTCACAAGCAGTTCGCCTTGGTACACTGCACTCCTTTTGCCAACGATTTGAATCCATGTTGTATCTGCAGATAGATAAAGTGAAGATGAGTGTGCCATCATACCTAAGACCTAGAATAAGAATTCGGAAAAAACAGAATGGCGAGTAACTTCAAATTCTGGCTTTTCTTCAAATAAAATCCTAAACTGAAACTAAAATTGCAGAGAATGTAAATTGCAATTTTGTTGACAGAAGAGGGAATCATGCAGTTTGGTACAAGCATCCGAGTAAAAGGAACCAATAACAAAGAGTCCGATTAAGTAACCAGCCAAATGTGTCAAGAGTCCAGGAAATGCTGAAATGTAAGCTTATTCTCTTAAGTAACCGAGACTCGGCAAGCGATTATTGAGAAATACATAGATAAAATCTGTGAAGAATGCAGCGTGCAGGAATTCTAGGTATCAAATGAAGAACCTGACAAGTTGGCAAGATTTGTTTTCCCCTTTTTGCATGATACTATAACTAAATAATAGCAGTACCATCAAGTCATTAGAAGACTAGAATTTCAAAACCCAAAAGCATACAGCTTACATTTTCTTCTCACAACACACACACTAAAGTTATGCATCTTTGCTATCAAAATATTGTAAATTATTGCCGAGTTAAAATCGAATACGACACTCCAAAATATGTTACTAATTATTATCTGCCTCAATCTACTCTACATATAGAAAAATACCCAATCTTTGAATTGGTTCAGATTTTAACTATCAATTAATACATATGAATTTACAACCTCAAGTGGTTCAGTACATGAATCAAATTCAAAATTCAAGCAAAACTAACTAATCAAACAAGTACAATGCCTTGTAATAGATATATCTGATACATAAGGAAACACAATGTGCCATCCGTTTCGATATTTGAACTCAGTTGATAAAGATGCTTTTATTAACGGTTAATTTATAATGCATTAAACTTTTTTATACTAGCAAAACTATCAACTCATTGAAGTAGATGGCAACCTTCTAAACTATCTCTAATATTCTTAGAGAAAAGCAAATTTTACCAAGAAGACAATAATTCAATGATACCAACATAAATGTAGTTATCTAGCAAAAAGAAGAGCATAATTACATGAGGATATCATAATCATCGAGCATGAAAATAGCAGGAGGATTACCCCCTTCCTCATCCTCCACCACTGCGATTTTCCCGAACCGAGGCGTCTCCCCCTGCTCCCCACATATCCCCAACTTCCCTCCACTTCCCATCCCCATTTTCCTTCAACTCCATCACCAATGCATCCTTATAGTACTCGTCGACCGGGAACACACACCCGAGACGGTTCTCGAATCTCCATACCCACCCATCACCCAAAACTCCCTCTCTTCCCCGTCTCCTATAACTGTAAAACCCACGCAACCAGCTCGAAACCGAGGCAACCCGTCCAACGCTTCCCATTGATCCTTCTCCACGTCGTACCGCTCTACCGAACATATCCTACTCCCACCAGCCCTAAACATGGTGTGCCTGGAACCACCCCCGGCAACTATGATTTGATCGGCGCTGGGGATTGCAGCACAAGCGAAACTCCCGCGCGGGGAAATCATAGGCGCGAGGCGATCCCAGGAGGAAGTAACGAAGTTATAGCGGAAAGCAGAGGAAGAAGGGGAAGGACGGTCTAAGGGGAAAGTGCGGGTGTCGAAAAGAGAGCCGCCAAGAACGTAGATGTGTGGGCCGAGAGAGATGGAAGTGAAATTGCAGAGGCCGTACACGTGAGGGTTGCAAGGCATGGGGGGTAAGGGACACCAGGCGAGGTGTTCGGGGTCGAAGAGGAAAGGGGAAGAAATGTGAGGATCTTCCGGAAAGATGCAGAGGAGATGGGAGCTCCGGTTGCGACGGCGAAGCGAGAGGAGCGTCTTGGAGGAGAGGAAGATATACCAGGGCTTGCAGGTGGGCTTGAGGCGGCAGTGGTGGGAGTACGGGAGGAAGGAAAGGATAAGGGCGGCGACGTCGTTTGGGAGGCCGGGGATTAGGGTTTGGGCATCGTCGATTTCGTGAAGATTCGCCGATGGTGATGTTGATAGAATTGACATTTCCTTCTCTCCTTTTTCCCTCTTTCCTCCGCGAAAATCAGAGTTTCGCTTTGCTGAAACTGAAAATCCAACTAATTTCCCAGCAACTGAATATTTGATCCGCAAAATCAAGGATCGCAAACGACTTTCCAGAAATGCAGGAAAATAAAAAGGCTAAAAGATCTAAGCTCTAAAGGCTACAGTTTGTTGACACGTGTGTTGAAAGTTGGAACGTTCTGCACGCGACACAAATTAAATTAATTAATATTACATGTTTAAATTATAGTATTGAGTTTGGTTATACGATGTATATGGGTAGGTTTGAGTCAGATTTTTTGTTCACCTAATTTGATTCGATTCGATTAAAATAATATTTCATCTGATTTGATATATAATTTAAAAATTTGACATAATCTTATTCAATCCGAAATAATAAAAAATATTATTTTTATTCAATAAAAATAGTGATTTAATTAAAAAAATAATATATAGAAGGGTATTGTTGTAATTATTTCTAAATATATAAGATAAAATTATATATTTTTTCGGGTCGAGTATTTTCACCAAAAACCCGAACCCAACCCGACACGAACATCACATTTAAAAAACCAACTCGATTCGACCCCAAAAATTTTAAAAAACCTGACCCGATCAGATCGAATCAGGTCGGAACCCATCGGATTCTACTTACATACCCATCCCTAGTTATACCATACAAACGAAAAGGTAATAAATTCTAAAAGTATCCTTCTTTTTATAAAACTTAATTTATTATTCTAATTGATAATATTTAAAAATGTGGATAATTGTTTAAATTGAAATTGAAATTATTATATTTACAATATTATTTTTAAAATTTTATTTAAAATACTATAATATAAAATTCAATTTTAAATACAATTTTTTATTAATTATATTAAAAATTATTATCAATAATAAATAAGTATTTATTTATTTATTTTAAATTATGAAGAGAAATACATTTAAAAATCAATTATGAATACAAAATCGTATGTATTTGTTTTCCTAACATTTTTAATCTCATTATAATTAATCTTACCGGCCTTATAATTTTTAATCTCGCTGTTAATCCAAAATAAACATCTGTAATAAAAAAAGATAAAATTTAAGAAAACTTGATAGCGTTAGCTGCCATTAGTGTTTTCCCTTGTCTGTACCAAACAAAAACACCTGCCCAGTTAAACGCATCTAACCCAATCTTAAATATAAAATCAAATATTTAAAAGTAATTTTACAAATAAAATATTATTAAATAGTATTATCTCCTGATAATTTGAATGTATATTTAAACCTGATAAAGGAAGACGATAGCAAATGAGGAAGCTGATTGTGACACAAAGATGATGCGTTTTCCATTCATTGTGGTGGGAAAAAGGGTTTCGTTAAGAACAAGTGCAAAGTACAAACCCGCACTATTTTCCCTCATCATTTATATATTCTGCAGGAAGGTTCCCACAACTTTCCTCACCTGTTTGATCATAAGCCCTAATTTCAGTTTTATTTACCATTAATTCAAGAAACGTTTCATTGTTCTAAACGTGATGATTGAATCGGATAATAAAAGTACGAGATAATGATAAAATTATTTTTTAATGTTTGTACAGAATGATTATTTAATCTTCTTTCTTTTCTTTTTTTTGAAGTATTTTATTTATCAACGTTTTATTTTTTTAGTCAAACCTACTTATTTTACGATTTGTACGGCTTGTTTTATATAATAAGGATTGAGAATTATGTTATAACTTTTTTTAGTAGTATGTAATGATTATAATTTGATATTTGTTTATAATTATTTTTAATAATTGATAACACATACATTCAGCCGATGTAAGTACACAAACACAAAATCTCTAAAGAAAAATCCACTCTTTTAATCATAACCATTGAGATGAATATTCACTTTTGTAAATATATATATATATATATATATAAAATGAAAGATCTGCTGCCAGAATATAGCATGTTATTTCTAGATGGAAAAAGCCTCTAATATTCAAAGGCTCATTTACAGTTTCCAACAAGACTACTTTCCCATTACATTAGAAGTATATGTATATAAATAAATAAATAAATACATATATATATATATATATATATATATATATATATATACACACACGCATAGGTACATTCTCAATTGAAAGGTGTATTTTAAACTTCGAAAATGTTAATTCTCACCATTTACCTTTGTACTCTTTTAAGTAAAGAAAGGGGGTTTAAATGAATTTTTGAATGATTTATATATAGGGCAATTTATTTGATACACAAAAGATTAATGCTTAACAAAGAATAAATTTAATGGTTCTAAATCAATATATTTTTTTTTTCATTTTTACACTCTGCAAATATAACTTATCTTTATATTTATATATATAAGTTACGATCTATTTACACAATGTAAAATATAAAAATATTTATATAATTTAGATTGTTGGATTAATTAAGTATAATGATTATGATTAAATCTTTCAAATTTTAGGATAATCCATTTCTTCTATTCGTAAAAAAATCTTCTTATATCGTACTATTAATCTCATTAATGTATTTTCATTCATCTAACGATTCAAAAAACGTGTAAAATTTTAAAAAAATACACTATGTCAATAGATGTATTAATCTTATTTCACTTATCCATCTATCTAAATAGGTAATTATATAACTATATATGATTGGAATTATTTTAGTTTGTTGGTTTCTGATCATGAATATCCTAACAAATAGAATTTGAATCTAACCAGAAAATTTGTTGAGTGATATATAAGAATCACTCTCAACTCTCGCCAGTAATATACTCTAACCCCTAATGATTTTATGAAAATGAAAAAAAGAATGGGTGAAAATATATGAAAAAGGGGAAGAGAGGTGACAAAAGGGAGACTGCTTTTAAGGAAAAAGGTTAGATGAAAGGGACAAGAGATAGCTTAACAATGGCAGACATATACCAGAAAAAAATATCATACTGCCAGCAAAAGATGGATCCACTACCTCAGCCGGCTAGCTAACAACAAAAGCTTAAGACTTTTGTCTCCGGGAAAAAAAATCTTACAGACAACTCACTTACCCAATGCCTATGTCTTTTATTTGTCCCTTGTCTATTATAATACCCACCTTCATCTCCAACAAGCTAAAATTCCCTGGTGAGAATTTCAGTCCTACTTAACAATTCCCATGGAGGCCAACCATCTCCGAGATTCAAAGAGCTCGAGCGAAGAGACCGATAAATCCGAGCTAAGCATCGACGATACACGCACCACCGGTAGTCGATCCTACGAGTGTGTGTTTTGCAGGAGAGGGTTCACCACAGCACAAGCCTTAGGAGGGCATATGAACATCCATAGGAAAGATAGAGCCAAGAGCAGGCCTAGTTCAGTTCCCATACTACTTTCAGGAACTGATGACAATTACCCAACAATTAAGTCCTATACTTATCAGCCAGATTACTCCATAGCTCCTGAGGTACATGTAAGTTACCAAGCTTTTTTCCCAGTTTCAGGTTGGGGTTTTAGACCCCCATACACGGCTGAATTCTTTGTAGACAATTCACAGCATCCGAATCGGAGTCTAAGCTTGCGAATCGGTCCGTCCCCTGTAGATGATCATCGAAACAAGAAGGCTGATGGAAGTATTGGAGAAGATGAATTAGACTTGGAGCTTCGATTAGGTCACGATCCATAGTGTATATATATATATATATTATAAAGTACCAATAATGAATTTTCTCTATGTACAGTAGTTGTGGATGTATATTCATTATAAAACACAGGGAATAAGAAGAAGAATTACATGCAGAATGAAGAAGAAAAGGAAGGAAGGCCTGCAAGATGGATTCTGTAAGATGTTATTTTTTATGCGCTCTTCTGCTTGAGTAATTAAAATTCTCTGTTACTTCATGTTTTTGTGAAGTTTTGAACTTGAAATATTGGAATTATTCTGTAATTTTCAGCCACTTTCTTATATTTGTAAAGTTTTTGAATTTACAGGAAACCTAATATGTTTTGCAGAAGGAGGGAAATAATAAAAACACTTTTCTTAGTAGGGTTTGCAATTAGGTTAGACTATATAGTACACTCAAACCCTAATTAATACATATTAAGCATGTTTCTGTTTCACTGAATTAAAACCTAGGTTGGATGCAGGTCCCATCTTGAAAATGCCCTTTCATTTCAGAACTTTTTGATATGTACTGTTTTCTTTCGTTGTTATTCATCCAAACGGAAAATAAACAGCTACATCATGTTGCTGGACCGTAGACACATGTATATTTACACAGCTTTTTGTTGATGGAACAAAAGTGAGGGTATCGGCTGGTGAAGGTTCACTCTTTTTAATTTAGATAGATAATTATAGTTAGTATGAAGTCGATAAACGTCTGGTTATCAATGATGGAGTTGCATGTGGTTAAGATCGCCTAATTTTCTGACCGTCGAGTAATTGGTGATAGAGGAAAGAGAGTAAGTAGGAGCCAGAAAATCTTCTCTACCTGTTATGGAAATTATATATATATATATATGACTTTTAGTGTTAATGTAAAACATAGAACTATAATGACTATTCGTAATATAGATAGTTTTGATTGATGTGATAGTTGTAAATTGATTTAGGTCTTAATAGATAACATAGACCTGCCATGGGTTAAATCAAATGATTGTGATGTTTCGAAGGATGTAGGGTTTTGAGTTCTTTACGTATTATGTCTGGAGATATTCCTTCGAAAAAGTTATAGAGAAATCTTGCTGTATGGAACGAAGGAGGTTTAGAAAAGTTATAACACTAAAGAAAACTTCATAGGATAAATTTGAAGTTTAGTCTGATTGATTTACACAATCACTTATAAAACTTAATATGTATAATAGGTCTGTAAGTGAGTAATCTCAATATTCACAGCTCTTTTAATTGAAGACCAGATGACCCAAGTTATCCGTACTTGTTTTTCTGCAATGGGTTCCATTGTTCATCAAAGGAAATTATTTGACGTAAACACTGATTTTTTTTTTTGCACTGAATATTAAATGTTTGGGTTCTTAAGTTTTCTAGTTCAAGATTTTCAATAACTTTCATTTCTACATAAGCATAATTAAGTAATATCAAAATCATTCTTTCTTTTAAACGAACTTGTTGAAATCTTCTGTTTTTTTTTAGGAAAGTACACAAAATGTTGTTCATCAGGCCTACGACACCTCATATACGCTTCAAATATCGCCCAAATTATTAGTGTCATATTCGATTATTAAAATATCAAAAAAATCAAATCAAATAAAATCATAAATTTTGAGTTAGAAAAATATATATACAAATAAACGGCGTTTTTTTAAAAAAATTACTGGTGACCGGTATATTTACCTATCTAACACCGGTCAGATTATATTTTCCGATCTAATACCCTTTGCAGTAAGGCGCTCCCCCTGCAGCGTGTTATACGATGATTTGGCGCCACGTGGGTAAAGCGCGGCCCCTGGGGCGCGCCTTACGCCACGTAGGGTATAGCGTGGGTCAGGGGCCGCGCCTGACCTTTATAATTATATATAGCGCGGGGCAGATACCGCGCCTTGTATAATTGTTACAACTTTTCTCGGCTATAAATACCCTTCTCCCCCGGGTTAAGTTCCTCACATCTCCTCACATCTATCCTCTCAACTTATAAATTAATACAACAATTCCGTCAACGAGTCAATAATTCTGATAATTTTCTCATATTTTATTCAGAAGTTCGTGCGATTTTTCGTTATAAGGTAATTTTGTGATAAATTTTTTATTATATTTATTGTTTATTATGATTATTTGAAAAAAAATATTATACTAATTGTTGTCAATTAATTTCTGTGTATGTAAAATTAGAAAGCAAGAATATATGTCGAAACAGTTTTGCGGTACATGTAATAATATAAAATTATATTATTTAAATTATTTACGTTTATGTGTAAAAAAATTATTCTGTTATATTATATATTATTTATTTAATCAGCATTATTTCAGTTATTTTTTTGCATATATAATATTGCCGCACTTTTGAACTCAAAGAATGACGTGACTTTCAACTATTGTTTATTATGATGGTGAAATTCAAGAAGATGAAACCGGCGTTGTTTTCTTATCAAATGAGCGTGTTAAAATATCATTGAAGAGAAACATAATTCTTGAGGAGCTGATAACGACGATTTCGAGGAAGATTCATGTTGGAAGTAGTAGAAGAATGTCGTCGTTGCAGTACAAATTTCCAACATCATTGTTGCCATTAAATTATACAACGTTCGAACTTTTGAACAATGATGATGTTGAAATGATGGTTGAAGCTCAAAGTAATTATTCAGACGCCAATATTGAGATGTATGCAAATTTTATTCAAGTGTGTGTCGTTAGGGGTCAATCATTAAGCTCTCACTATGGGATGGCTGAACAAGTTGATCAAGTTGACAGCCCGACGACAATAATGTGTAATGATTTTAATGCCATAATGGAGAGACATTCATCCGCAACTCCTTACTATATGTATCGATGTGGGTCGACGAACAATCTGTATGGCAACATCGTGTCTAGTTCAAGGGGAAGACATTCATCTACAAATCCGTTTGACCTTAATATGGAGATGCCATCGACACAACCATCTGTGCAGTTTCCATTTGACACTATGACTTCAAGCTCCAAGGGGAGGCATTCGACTGCGAGCTTTTTTGATATGAATGTCGATATGCCTTCCAGTTCAAGGGGAAGGCGTGCAAGTAGTAGGTTCTTCGATCTAAATGTGGAGAGCACGAAAGAACCATCATCTCTACCAGAAGAACCGCTTCGTGAGCCTGGTGCGGATGGTGCTGAGACTGGACTATTCATTCACCAAGAATCACTGCAATTCAACTCCGATGGTGATGATGATGTAGATGAAGTTCCAGCAAATGTGGCACAAACTGACCCTCCAACACACATGTATGAAGCTGATTATGATGCAATGTATGGGCCAGAATTTGCGGATATGCCTCATCTCGGTGACTATGGATATTACTCATCAATAAATAATGGTGAGTTATATTTAGGCATGGAGTTTTCAAGCAAGGAAAAAGCTATGATGGCTATCAAAAATTACAATATCTGTAATTCTGTTCAGTCCAGAGTCGACCGCTCCACAACCGAAAAATATGTATGCTACTGTACCCGACGCGAAAACGGATGCAATTGAATGGTTCGCGTATCGAAGAGGAAAAACAACAGATGAGAACTAACAGTATACAATGGTCCTCACACATGTTATGCTGGAAGGGTCAACCAAGATCATCCCTACTCTGCAGTGATATGCCAAGCCATCATGCCCATAGTAAAAGCAAGCTCTCATATAGCTGTTGTTGTGTTGATTTCAGCTATACAATCGCAGCATGGGTACACTCTCTCCTATAAAAAGCTTGGTTGATAAAACAAAATGCCATTGTCAAACTTCATGGCGAATGAGATGCATCTTACAACGAACTTCCAGGCTGGTTTAGGCTGGTGCGGAGGTTGAATCCTAGGACAATTGTGGACTTCGAAACCTCCTATGCATACCATAATGATCGAGTTCTCTGCGATCGATGCCAATTCTACCGGTTTTTTTAGACTTACCCACAGTGCGTTAATGATGTCAAATACTACAAGCCTGTGGTCCAGATCGACGAGACTTTCTTGTATGGAAAATACAAGCAAGTTTTATTATTGGCAGTTGTCCAAAATGGCAATCGCAACATTCTTCCAGTTGCTTTTGCTCTTGTCGAAGGAGAAGATACAGATTCTTGGGCTTTTTCCTCCGAAATTTACGTGCACGTGTTATCACGAGGGAAACATCTGTGTCATTTCAGATCGCGGAGCTGAGATCAAAGCAGCAATGGAGTCTTTGGGTCCAATGTGGCAACCACCCTTTGTCCAACATAGGTATTGTCTCTGACACATTGCTGCGAACTACCATGAAAGGTACAAGAAGAATGATGAGCGTCAATTAATTGTGCGCATGGGTAAGTGAAACTAATGTAGTTTGTTTTCTTTAGATCATTTTAATTTTGTAAAGAAAGCAAGTTAGTAAGTTGTACATTTTTTGATAAGGTTACTAACTACTTCCTCGAACGTTTGAATCAATGCTTCAAGATTTGCGGGCGAAGAACGAGAAAGGATACGATTACATCAGCCTCATCGATAAAGAAATGTGGATGAACGCATATGATGGTGGATATCGATATGGACACATGACGACCAACTTGGCAGAGGAAATCATTTCAACTTTAAAGGGTGCACACCACTTACCAGTAGCGGCTTTGGTAAAGACTACATATTTTTGTTTAGGGGCATTTTTTGTGAAGCTCGGGGGACAAACTCAAACATGGATGCAAGGCGGTCATGTCTATCACCCTAGATTAGTTGCAGATCTACAGAAAAAAATTTCTGCATCAAATGGAATGTCTGTAACAAGCTTCTCTAGAAGGCATGAAATATTTCGTGTCACAGAGTTGCCGCAACCTCTTCAAGGGATTGAAGTTGTGTCGTTAAGAGTAAATCTAAGGGACAGAACGTGCGACTGCGGGTTTTTTCAAGCTCTTAAGTATTCATGCTCTCATGTGATAGCATCTTGCTCGCATACACGTCAAGACTATAACCATTTTGTGGATCCCGTATACCTACTATATGAAGTTTTTAAGGTATACGAATTTGAGTTTCCCCCCATA